TATTTTATTTATTTTATTATTTTATTATTTTATTATTATTTTATTATTTTATTATTATTTTATTTTATTTTATTTTATTTTATTTTATTTATTATTTAATTTAATTTAATTTAATTTAATTTAATTTAATTTAATTTAATTTATTGGATTTATATACCGCCCTACTCCCGAAGGACTCAGGAGCCACAGAATAAAACACATAAATACAAAATTTAAAAACAGAATGAAACCAAATTAAACAATTTGGCCGAGACAAATTTAAAACACCCAATAATTTTAAAAACAAATTAAAATTTACATTTTAAAAGGGAAAGATTTAGGCCAGGCCAGCTTGATGGAATAAAAAAAGTCTTGAGAGCGCGACGGAAGGTGCGCAGATCCAGGATCCTCCGTATCTCCGGGGGGAGCTCATTCCAGATAGTAGGTGCCCCCACAGAGAAGGCTCTCCCCCTGGGGGCCATCAGTCGACATTGTTTGGCCGATGGCACCCAGAGGAGCCCCTCTCTATGAGAGCGTACCGGCCGGTGGGAGGCTATTGGTGGTAGCAGGCGGTCCTGTAAATAACCAGGTCCTAAGCCATGGAGTGCTCAAAAGGTGATAACCAAAAACTTGAAGCGCACCCAGAAGACCACCGGGAGCCAGTGCAGCTCGCGCAGGAGAGGTGTTGCATGGGAACGCCTCGTCGTGTATGTGTGTGTGTGTGTAGGCAATGGGAATTAGCTAAGCGGGGGGAAGGTTGAATTTAGGGATTTTGGCGAGCGATGCGTCGTTCTACCCATTCACTATTGCAATGCACTTTTCTTCTAAGAAAACCATATTTTTCTCAACAAATGGAGTCAAGGGTTGTTTCTATTTAGAGCAGGGGGGTCAAACTCGATTTCATCTGGGGGGCAGGTGGTGGCGGACAAGTGGGCATGGCCAGCTCGACATTACTTGTCGAGGCTCCGTTTTCAACTGTGATGGCATCCTGCAACCCTCTGCCAGTGAAAACTGAGCATGCGGCCTCCCCAGGCCTCCGTTTTGGCTGGCAGAGGGCTGCAGGAGGCCGTCATGGCCAAAAACGGAGCCCAGGCAGGCCTTGCGTGGCGCCCCTGAGCTCCGTTTTCGCTGGCAGAGGCACTGCAGGTGTTCTGACCCAGCCTCAGCAGAACCAATACACAAACTCCTTGTCCCGAAAACCCTGTTTATTTAATTACTGTGAATTCATGACATTCACACAGAAAAGTCCAGGCAATAATCCTTCCAAGGGTTAATTGCAATAATAGACTTATCAGTCTTTAGATAATTGCCAGGCCCGGAGCTTCCAGTTGCAAAGCTGTAAATTAATTCCTGGCAATAAGTTTCTGAGGCACTAACCAAGATAAGCAAGTCTTCTTAAATAAATCCGAATGGTTGTCTCCCACTACGCCACTCCCCTTTTGCTTATATTTATTCCCCAGCCAGGGAGGGGCCATTCAGCGTCCAAGTATGCCTTTCTTTCCTGATAATCAATTATTCTCCTCTCCTGACAGCTCTGCCCATACGTGCATCTGGAACAGGCCCCAGCTCTTCCTCTTCCTCGCTTATCTCCAACTCTAAATGCAGCTGGGGAATGTCGGACGGCCCTGGCTCCATCTTTGCTTCTGATGCAGAGCCTCCATCAGAGCCTTCCCCAGACTGCAGGACTGGCCCAAGTTCCTCCCCAACCTCCTCATTGTCCAAGTCTGCTGCCAGCTCTGCTGCCAGCTGGCGGGCCACAACAACAGGCTGGTCCTTCGCTGTCTCCAGGGCGGCCCTGCGGGCTGGATCTAAGCACCCTGCGGCCTGGATCCGTTCCCCAGGCCTTGAGTTTGACACCCCTGATTTAGAGGTTTCAATGGTGGCAGGTTTGATAGTCTATTCTGCAAAAACCCTAGGTTTAGCAATCTGGAACCAGAAGCAACTTATTTACCTACAGTATAAAATATGGCTTCACATACATGGGGTTAATCTACTTGCGTTTTTATCCCCGATCTGACCCTCAGCTGACACAAGGCCTAAATTCTAATACTTGAGGACAGGTGAGAGTCTCACTTACCGAAGGACAGCAAGGCAAGTGGCAGGGTGATTATACAGACGATCCAAAATCCCTGGGCTGAGACCCCGCAGGTATTCATGAAGGTTCTTGCATTTCAGCTGAACTCTCTGGAGTTTCATCAGTGACTCCGTCATGACAGCTACCCTTCATCACCGGGGCATTTTTTCTGCAAAGGCTGTGATAGTTGTAAGATAAAACATCTGGTGAATTCAGTAACATAGTATGTTCACTGTGGACGGAACCAGCACTGAAAAGCACAAAACCACATTTTTTAGGAAAGTCTATGAATTAAAACACACACACACACACAGAAATCTGTGGTATAATATTTAGGATCACTTGGTAGTCCTCAGCTTTTAACCATTCATTTAGTGACCAAAATTACAATGGTATGGAAAAAGTGACTTGTGACCAGTCCTCACAGTGATGACTATTGCAGCATCCCCATGGTCCTATGATCAGAATTTGGGTGGTTTGCAACCAGTTTATATTTATGATGGTTGCAGTATCCTGGGGTTATGTGATCGTCATTTGCAAATCATTCTCAGCCAGCTTCTGACAAGCAAAGTCGATGAAAAAAACAAGATTTGCTTAACAACTGCAGTGATTCACTTAACAGCCGGAGCAAAAAGGCCATAAAATTGGACAGAACTCACTTATAACAATCACCTTTCATAGCAATGGAAATTCTGGTTCCAATTTTGGTCATAAATTGAGGACTACCTGTACAGCAAAATTCACACAGTGGTAATAAGGGGGAATCCATTTGCAACGTCTTGACAGACTTGACTTTTTCTAGGCTAATTCCCCGTGAGGAAAATGCCCCAATAAACAGCAAATGTTTTGTTGCCTGAGTGTTCTCCTTCTGGTCTTGCTTCCGGATGCAATATGGCAGGTGAAACCTTCCACCGCCGAGAAGTTTTAAATTTAAAACAGGCAGTCTATAAAACACAAGGTACAATTTGTATGCAAAAAAGCTCCCTGACAACTTTTGGCTGTTGGGTTTTTTTTCCTCTCAAGAAGAGAACTAGAACTAAGGATCTGCTTGCAGATTTTCCTATTCTAAATGCCGTGACTTTATATGCCATCAAATCACCCATGACTTTCCAGTTCAATAGCTTGGAGACTGTTTAATTCAGTGTTTTTCAAACTCAGCAATATGCGTGGACATCAACAGTTTGGGGAATTCTGGGAATAGAAACTCCCACATCTTAAAGTTGCTGAATTTGAAAAACACTGATCTAATGCGATTTAAAAATTTAATGCCAGAATAGCCCCATGCTTTGAAAAGCAATTAAGACCTGACTCTTGGCATCTCTTCAAGACTTGTCAGGTTAACTTTTATTATTTATTGTAAGAAAAACAATATTTCATCTTTCAAAAGAAAATTTAAAAAACTAAAAAACAAACTACAAAAATAAGACCCCGTCTTATATTTTTTGACCCCCGAAATAAGTGATTGGCCTTATTTTTGGGGAGGTCTTATTATTTTGGGGCATGTGGAGGAAACCAGAGAAAAAGGCAGGGACTGGCTGCACATGCATTTAAATATTTTCGGAGAGGGCTTATTTTAGTGCATGCGCTCAAAAGCCCGATTGGGCTTATTATCAGGGGATGTCTTATTTTAGGGGAAACAGGGCAAGAAGGGAAAGAAAAGACCCCTCCCACACACACACTAATATCTTATACTTATCAATAGCCACTGGATTTGCTATTATAATCTGAACAATGTATTATTGTAAGAACACAGAATCTCTGCCATAGAAACACATGTTGCTGCATCCTTTGATTAGTACAAAATATTGCCTTTTCTCAAAACAGACAGATCACAACCCTTTCTTTACCTCTTGAATAATACCACTGTTCTAATTTCTCAATACGATTCTTTTTGCACCATGCCCCACTCTATGCAGGTAGTCCTCAGTTTACAAGCTCATTTAGTGACCGTTACAATGGCACTGAAAAAAGAGACTTGTGACTTACAACCTTTGTAACATCCCCACGGTCACATGATCAAAATTCAAGATGCTTGGCAACTGATTCATATTTATGACGGTCACAGTGTCCCGGGGTCATGTCATCCCCTTTTGCAATCCTCTGACAAGCAAAGTCAACGGAGACACCAGATTCACTGAACAATGGTATCACTCACTTTAACAACTGTGGCAAGAAAGGCTGTAAAATGCGGCAAAATTCACTTAACAACTATCTTGCTTAGCAATAAAATTTTGGGGCTCAATTGAATTTGTAAGTCAAGGACTACCTGTACAGCCACAATGCGGGAATGGATGGGTTAATTTGTTCCTAATTAAATGTTGTGGTTACAATATGGGAAGCTACATAAATCGTTTAAAATAGATAGATAGATAGATGAATTTATACATGAATGGATGACAGATAGATACATGATTAGATAAAGACTAAACAAAAGAGCCAGACGTTAGATAATAGGAATAAAAGAGAGACTTCCGGCGGGGGAAAAATCTATGAATTGTTGCTAACGGTGCCTACTTGGTGCATTTTGGGATCATATATTTTTATACGTTTTCTTTTTCAATCGGATTGCTGCGTCGGGTATATACACCGGTCAGAACTTCTTAGGACTGGAGAGGCTTATCAAACATAAATACATTCGGTTTGTGATCTTCCTACCCTTTCCCACGCTGGCACAACAAAACGTGGCGCTCCCTTCGCCAGGATCTCCTTCTCCGGAGACCCCGGGATGATGCCCAGGGCTGAGAGAAACTCCTCCAGGGCTTTATTCTTTGACGGGGCGGCGTTGCCAACCCGCTCCTCCGATTTCTCCAACCCGGCACCTGCGGGGCGCTTGCATGTTCCGACCCAAAGGACTCACCTTCACCAGGAGCGCATCGGGGAAGGGGACGGGGACAAGGATCCGCGGCAGCGGCTCCACACCAGCCGGCCCTCCCGGCGAGCAGGAAGCGATCGGCTCACTCCACCTCTCGGCGTCGGCTCCTTTTCCTGTCTGAGTTGCATGTCGGGAGCGCGGAAAAAAAAAAGGCCCGGGTTGCAAAGAGGTAAGCTTGGTTTTGAATGTGTCCCGGATCGTGGTTTTGGGGAGGTCTAGATTAGGGGGTGGAGGAAGGAAGGCGTGTAGTGCATTCACAGTTACAGAGAGGAACGGGGCGTGCAAAACTAGTGCAAAACAGGGTTCTGGGAATCACAAGAATGTAGTGTTGGGGGCGAGGGGGAATGTGTGAACCTCTTAATTACTGGGTTTTCCAGATGTTGTGCTCGGACGCTACCATCCCTGGCTGTATTGGATAAGGCGCATGGGATTTGGAGCCCCCCCCCCGTTTTCTATTCCTAATCCAATCTCTAATCCCTAAATCCTGTCCTTGGGATTTTCATTCTTTTGGCATACCATTTTTACTCCTTTTCTGCTCTCTGCGTTACTTATTCAAAAGGGAATAAATATGTGTGTGTGTTTTATATTTATAAATATGTATATGCACATAAAATGATTGCCTTAGGACAGAGTGGGTTTGAGAACTAACTGAGATTAGTTTGAGGTCTAATCTCAGCCATCTGGAAAATCAATATGATTTGACAGCCCAGGTTGAAAAATAATACAATATTAAAGTTTCATCAAATAATCCTGAGAAGCGGTAGTGGCAGCAAATGTGTCAGTCCGGTCAATATCAATTAAGCGGTACAAATAAAAGTTTATTTTGAAGTCCTCCATAATTTTTAAAAGTGGAAAGGGGTCCTGACAGAATAAAGTTTAAGAAACGCTGTCTGCTGGTAAGAAAGTAATTTATGATAATTCCATATAATTATAGTTACAGCCCTCAGATCATGCAGCTATTTACTGTGGCTACCTGACACAGACCAATAGATTTTGAAGGGAAGAAAAATAGATCTCTCTCTCTCTCTCTCTCTCTCTCTCTCTCTCTCTCTCTCTCTCTCCTTTTCTTCCCTCCCTCTTTCTGTTTCTCTTACACAACTAAATCTTACTATCGCAAAGGTGCTTTTTCAAGAGGCAACTGGACTTTCTGGTTTTTCTTTGAAGACGTTTTGCTTCTTATCCAAGAAGCTTCTTCAACTCTGACTGATTGGTGGGGAATGGAAGGATTTATACTCCTTGCAAGACAGCTGGTCATTTGCATTCTTTTTAGAGAGTCTTCAAGGCCACCCAGATGACAAGTGGGACATTTAGTAGAAAGAGATGATATAGGGCATGAGTATTTTCCATTGATGTAGAGACCCATGGAGATGGTCTTGAGGAAGCTATTCAAAAGTGATTGCAAAATGAAAAAGGACAGAAGTCTGCCTTAAGTCCTGGGAAAGGAAAAGAAAAATATTAGGCTGGTTCCCCCCTGACTCTCTAGGAGTGTAAGAGGATGGGAAGAGAAAACATCAAAAAACTGGCACAATTCTGTTCCTTAATCTTAACTCTATAGTTTTTTAAAAAAATTGTAGGGTCTGTTTTCTGATCTGGACCAGTGGCCCACAACCTTTTGGGCAACCTTATTCATATGATTTCTTTGGTATTTATTTCTGTAGGCCCCAATATAAGGGATGGAAAAGTGACTATTGGAAGCATGTGCGTTTGGAACCAAAGGGAGAAAAGTGGTGTGCCTTTTTACTACACGTGTGCAAGAGGACTAAGCACACCTACATTCAAACATGCCTTCAGCCCATCTTAATTCTGCCTCCCATCGGAATATGTCTGTTCTTTGCCGTCTGCTTCTCTGGGCAGAGAAAAGGTGCTGGGATGGATTTGGTGGATGGAGGAGGAGTTATTCCCAAGGAAGTAAGCCCGATCTTAATAAGCAAGTGGGGAAAATGGACCATCTAAAAAATAAGGAACAAAGACAAAAGCGGTTGTGGAAGAAGATGGAGGCTATTGAAGCTCAGATGGCTGCTGGGCCCAAGGTAAGACTGCTTAACAGGAACTGATGTTCAGTTATTAATTTGTTCAAAACTAATGGCTTGATTTTTAAAAAAACAAGGCTAGGATGAATTCTGCTTTGTTGTTTGTAGAACGCACCATGATTTTATCACACTGATGCTACAGTTGTGGCATTCTGGTTACTGGCTGCTACAAATATTGGTCGTCAGCTGTTATTCAGATCCATCTGTACTAGACCTACACAGAATCCCTAGTAACGGTAGAAAGAGAACAATAAACAGCAATACATTCCCCCAATAACTATACAGTGCATTAAATTAATAAATAAGGCATCATTAATCTGTACAATAGCACCATACAAAATATCCAAGTTATATGCAAGTTCGAAAGAAATTGGTCTTCCAAAAAGTCATGTAGAAGAAGAAGAAGCAGAGCCTGGGGGGTGGAGTAAGGAGAGTTATTGGTCTGGAGTCATTAGGTTGCCACAAGTGATCCAACCCCATTTGAATTCTTTGATTCTTATCTAGTATGGACCATTAATTGACTAGATCCTTCTGTACAGGCTTGAGCAATAAATCTTCTAAATTAGAACTTAACATATGATTCTGATTCTTTGCACCTGACAGGTCACCATAGGGACCAATCAGATAGAAGTTGTTGCTATCACGTTTTTTGGCCCCTATGGAGGTTGAAATCATATCACCAGCCTTAAGACCATGTCTAGGCCTTGTGAAGATATCTTAGGTAGCAAGGCAGCTGCTACATACGTAGGATCTGTCAGGCTCTAAAAACCAAGTAAGACACATGGAGTGACTTCAAAGTAGTTTCTTTTATTGTTCCTCACCTATAGACAGAAATCTTGCCACGTTAAAGCAAATGACTTACATCATTAAAAACATACTCTAAGAGCTCCTAGAACTGTCTTGCCCCTCTTGCCCCCCTCTCCCAAAACTATCTCAATGTTGCTGTCTCTTGGTCCTCTGGAATGCAGCCCCACCCTCCTGGGAATCTACCACCTTCTACTGCTGATGTCCAATATCTCCTATGGTCCAGCTTGTCAATTGATTGATGCCGTCATGATCTGAATATATTATGGGGCGATACATTTGTGGTGGATTGATGGTTATATTATTTTTAGGATTTTATAACTATCACAATGATTTAAAAGTGATATTTTATTTTAGTATTTCATTGTTTACCATGGGTAATTTAACACATCATGGTTAACTGCCATGTGTTCGCATTACACAAGCCAAATAAATATAAACCCAGGTAGTCCTCGACTTGCAAAAGTTCTTTCAGTGACCATTTGAAGTTACAGAACTAGAAAAAAGTGACTTATGACCGTTTTTCACACTTACAACTGTTGCAGCATTCTTGTGGTCAGATCCTTGGCAAGTGACTCATATTTATGACAGTGTGTGTGTGTGTGTGTGTGATCACTTTTTGCAACCGTCTGACAAGCAAGGTCAGTGGGGAAGCCAGATTCACTTTACAACCATGTTACTAACTTAACAATTGCAGTGATTCACTTAACAACTGTCTCAGCTACAGAAATTTTGTGCTCAATTATGGTTCTAAGTCGAAGACTACCTGTAAATAAATAAGAAAAAGACTGCTTCCTCTTTTAAAAAATTTTTTACATTCCCCCTTTTTTATTTCCCCTCCTCTTTGAAGGAACCTTCAAATCAAGACAAGACCCTTTCCTCAAAAAACATCACAGAATATGACATCCCAACTATAGCCGGACAGAAAAAAGGTAGGATGGAAATAGCTTAGTTCAAATGGGCTTCCAGGATTTTCCTTTTTTAAAATGTTAAAAAGAAATTTAGCTTGTATTTCTTTGTGGAAGAGGTAACTGGTGGCTAACAGGGAATTTTGGCTTCCTCATGGGCTAGTAAAAGAAAACGAATAGACAAGAAAGGAATGGAGCTGTGGTATAACCAGGATTGGATCTAATGTTGAGATCCGTTCCACTTTTATTGTCTCCATATATTTGTATAAATTCCTCTTTGTATGTTTGGCTGTCAGATTATTAGACAGTTGATTAGAAAAATATCACTTTTCCTGCTCCTATTTTATCCAGACTAATTTGGGAAAGCAGTTGATTTGATACCCCCATTCTAAACTCATAGTGGTGTACAAAAAAACAAAAATGAGACTAATGTGTCCTTTTTAATGTGCCAAGAATTCTTTGTCCCATAGAAAAGGAATGCATAGGCCAATCACAGGAAGTTTCATTAATTTTTTTTTTCAGAGAAAAGAGTGTGTCAAATGAGTAAGAGAATTTTTAGAAGAAAATGGCAATCAACCTTAAAACCTGGCTCTGTTCCCACATTTGGAATTAATATTTCTTCATTAATATATCTGTGGGGTCCTGCGTATGGTTTATCATTTTGGTTGTTTTAGTCCAGCCTGCCTATTTCTCTGTATTTAATTGTATTTCTGGACTTTGTGTTTTATCTAGAATCTAGTAGAGTGGGCAACTACAACAAATTTAATAATTTGATTAACTTAAATTTGAACATCTAATACATGGGTGTCAAGCTCAAGGGCCGGGGCCTGGATCCAGTCCGTGGGATGCTTAGATTTGGTCCACAGGGCGGCCCTGGAAACAGTGAAGGACTGGCCCGTGGTGCCTCTGCCAGCAAAAACTGAGCTCATGAGGGCTGCACACGGGTCCTCCTGAGCTCTGTTTTCTCTGGCAGAGGGTTGCAGGAGGCCGTCCCAGCTGAAAATGGAGCTCGGGAGCCTCTTTTCGCTGGCAGAGTGCTTGGGTCGCCACAGGTGTCACTGACACGAGTAATGTCGAGCTGGCCATGTCCACCCTGGCCATGCCCACTCCGTGCCCCCCCCCCGGTCAAACACAACCCTGATGTGGCCCTCCATGAAATTGAGGTTGACACCCCTGATTTAATGAATTTTGTGGCATTAAATTGTCTATGGGGCCTGATTTTATATGTACCAATATTTTAGCATATTTATATGCTCAATTAGCATACATGGAGTTATACTTCTATTTTGTCATGCTGTTAAAGATCTGAGATTCTATCCACGTGTTCTCCAGATGTTCTTGTCTTGATCATCCTTATTAACATCTGAAAGCTGAGAATTTTAAAATGGTGGTTTCAGGGTCCTGTGCTTAGTTTTGCTGCACTCATATAACAAAATTTTGGACATACAGATTGCACAAGCGCATGTTTTAATTATGGGACCTTAGTGTGATTTTCTTTCCCATAGATACCTCAGCCCCTTTGCCTGCCTCCTATAGTCCACGCTATGTTGAAGCTGCTTGGTATCCTTGGTGGGTGAAAGAAGGTTTTTTTAAACCAGAATGCCAGGTAAAAAAAAAATGTTTCTGTAAAATTATTAATATTAGTCTTTCTTATGAGCAAGTGTTCAAACTTTTGATAGATTAAAAAGTTGTTAAAACTTTTTTCTTCCTTTTCTCATAATAGTAAATATTTGAGTCCTCCAATCCAATTGACTGAGGCAGTGGTGAAATTCAAATTTTTTTACTACCAGTTCTGTGGACGTGGCTCGGTGGGCATGGCAGTGGAAGGATACTGCAAAATCTCCATTTCCACCCCACTCCGGGGAAAGATACTCCAAAATCCCCATTTCCTCCCCACTCCTGGGGGAAGAATATTGCAAAATCCCCATTCCCTCCCCACTCTGGGACCAGCCAGAGGTGGTATTTGCCAGTTCTCCGAACTACTCAAAATTTCCGCTACCTGTTCTCTGAACTACTCAACATTTCCGCTATCGGTTCTCCAGAGCCTGTCTGAACCTGCTGGATTTCACCCCTGGACTGAGGATAGAAGAAGCATTTCACATGATGTCTCATGAATTTGTGGCATTCCTTTGATATGATGAGTCAAACAGACCCCCTTTGTGGTCATGTGATTTGCATTTTGGGTATCCAGCAACCAGACTGCATTTATGTCCATTTGCAGCATCCCACAATCATAAGACTGCAATTTATGACACTTTTGTGCCAAAAACCAACTTTTACTTCCAGTTTCCCGCAAAAAACACCCATTGTGGACTTGCTTAACAACTGTTCCAAAAAAGTGTTATAAAATTGGATTGGTCATATAATGACTTGCTACTAGCATGATAATTCCTGGCTCAATTACAGTCCTAAATCAAGGACTACCCATACAAATTTGAATTAAATGAGTTAAGAACTGAGTTTGTTTGTTCTTCACCCAGGAATTGCTTGTGTTTCTCTGGGAAAAGTATTTTCTGTGGGAAATGCTAGTCAAACTGTTTTCATGCTCAAACTGGAGAAGAAGGGTCCTTCCCTCACATTTTTAAGAGTTTAAGTGTTTGTAGTACCAGCATGGAACCTCAATAGGATGGTATGGAGGCAAATTTGGACCAATGCTAAATCCAATTCCTCTTTTTGACAGCAACACCTGCCCCACAGGAAGCCAGAAACGTTTTCTATCTCTCTCCCGCCACCTAATGTCACAGGATCCCTTCACCTGGGGCATGCCTTGACTGTGGCTATTGAAGATGCTTTGGTACGATGGTAAGTGTGTTGTTGGAGACTTGGGAAATGGCTGTGCAGCTCTTCTAGCAATAGAATAGAATAGAATAGAATAGAATAGAATAGAATAGAATAGAATAGAATAGAATAGAATTCTTTATTGACCAAGTGTGATTGGACACACAAGGAATTTGTCTTGGTGCATACGCTGTCAGTGTACATAAAAGGAAAGAAAAGATAGGTTCATCAAGAATCATAAGGTACAACACTTAATGATAGTCATAGGGTACAAATAAGCAATCAGGAAACAATATCAATCGTAAGGATACAAGCAACAAAGTTACAGTCATAAGTGGAAGGAGATGGGTGATGGGAATGATGAGAAGATTAATAGTAGTGCAGATTTAGTAAATAGTTTGACAGTGTTGAGGGAATTATTTGTTTAGCAGAGTGATGGCGTTTGGGAAAAAATTGGTCTTGTGTCTAGTTGTTCTGTTGTGCAGTGCTCTATAGTGTCGTTTTGAGGGTAGGAGTTGAAACAGTTTATGTCCAGGATGTGAGGGGTCTGTAGTGATGGACTCCACAGGCTTTAAGTTCATTAGTGATGCATTTAGTCATGCCATATCACTGAGAAATATAGGTAGCTACAAAAAGACTGACAAAAACCAAAAAACTGGCACTACTCCTGAGAAATTAGAGACATGTGGTTGAATTACTTTTATTGGCAATGATTTGGCTTCAATTTCAAGTGAGGGATAACCTACAGAGCCGAGGTAGCGCAGTGGTAGTGCAGTACTGCAGGCTATTTCAGCTGATTGCTAGCTGCAGTTCGGCAGCTCAGATCTCACCAGCTCAAGGTTGACTTAGCCTTCCATCCTTCCAAGGTGGGTAAAATGAGGACCCAGATTGTTAGGGGGAAATAGGCTGACTCTGTAAAACCACTTAGAGAGGGCTATAAAAGCACTATGAAGCGGTATATAAGTGCTATTGCTAGTGCTATTGCTATTCCTTAATTTAGTGTTTCTTGATCTTGCCAAGTTTAAGATGGGTGGACTTCAACTCCCAGAATTCCCCAGCCAGAATTGAAGTTCACCCATCTTAAATCTAAGTTTGAGAAACATTGCCTTAGCCGACAGCAGTACTTTTCCCTTCCCGTTCCTCTGCATTTTGGGCATATCTGTTTGAATCTGAAAGCAGTCTAAAGATTTGGAACTTTTAAAGAAGAGAGTTTAATTCTAGATTTTTTCCCCCTTCTTGATGTGTTCCAGGAGACGAATGCAAGGCTATCGAGTTCTATGGCTTCCAGGTTCTGATCATGCTGGAATTGCAACCCAGGTGAGAATCAGCAGTTCAAAGCAGAATCTTTTAATCCTGAATAACCATGGAGCAGTCTTCTGCTTCCTGTAAGGATTCTAATCCTTTTAGAATTAACTGGAAGGATTCTTGGGATGGAAAACGGTATGGATGTGAATTAATTTGCATATTTTAACTCTGAATCAAACCAGAAAACATAAAAAGAAATCTCAGCACATTTAAATATACAGGTAATCCTCGACTTACAACCATTTATTTAGTGACCAGAGTTATAAAACCACTGCAGAAAGTGCCTTGTGACTGTTTTTTTCACACTTATGACTGTTGCAGCATCCCTATATTCACATGATCAAAATTGCAAAGATGCTTGGTAACTAGCATGCATTTATGATGGTTGCAGGATCCTGGGATCATGCGATCACCTTTTGTGAGCTTCTGACAAGCGAAGTCAATGGGGAAGCCAGATTCACTTGACAAGTGTGTTACTAGCTTAACAAATGCAGTGGTTCACTTAACAACTGTGGCAAGAAATGTCGTAAAATGGAGCAAAATTCACTTGTCTTGCTTAGCAATGGGAATTTTTGGGCTCAACTGTGGTGGTAAGTCGAGGACTACTTGTATACTCTTTGGTTAGATTCTTTGTCTCACTTGTGAGTCTCTCACAAGTTTTTATGTTCTTTCTTCATCTGACCAGGCGGTGGTAGAAAAAAAGATCTGGAAAGAACGGGGAGTTTTACGGCAAGATCTCTCACGTGATGAATTTCTCCAAGAAGTTTGGAAGTGGATCGAGGAGTGAGTATTAGAGATGAAGAGGCTGCAATGTTTGGATGGAACTGGGGGTGACAATTTTCTGAACTAACAATAGTCTCTTGAAGCAGGGGTCCCCAACCTGTGGCCTGTTGGCCACCTGGCAGTGTGAGTGGCTGGCATGTGCGCGCGCTTGTGCGTTTGCACCGCCCACATGCGCTAGCGTGGCGAACATCACGCAACTGTGGCTGATTTGCGTCGAGCGCATGCTCGCAGCCCCATTCATGCGTTTGCAGGTGTGCATAAAGGTGCCTGCTCCACCCCCCCCCACCCCCTCTGGGCCACCCCAGAAAGGTTGGGGAACTTCATCTTAAAGGTTTAAGAGAGCCAGTTTGGTGTTGTGGTGAAGATGCTGGCCAGAAACCAGGAGACTGTGAGTTCTAGTCCCACCTTAGTCATGAAAGCTGACTCTGAGCCAGTCATTCTCTCTCTCAGCCCAATCCACCTCACAGGGTTGTTGTGGGGAAAATAAGAGGAAAAAGGAGTATTGTAAATGTTTGCTTCCTGGATAAATAAATAGGTCTCTTTTTTTGTACTTACTTGAGGAAAAAATATTTTTAAAAAATTTAACACAAAACTTTAGCATTTTAATTTTTTATATACTGTTTTGTATTTTGAAGTTTTATTGTACCTGCTCAGGGTCTCGCTGTGAGGGGAGATGGGCAGTTTAGAAATGTGAAATATAAATAAATAACGCTGTGGAAACTCTTTTATGTCCTCTTGGGGCTGCATAAGGTCAGCGGGGAGTGGGACTATCTGTATCTGGCAGGTGGCTAATTCTGGTTTAAGGATAGATTAGATAGGAATGATTTAATGTTAAGGTTACATAGATGAATAAATTAGTGGTTTTCACCTTGAGTAATTTTAAGGTGTGTGGACTTCATACTGGCTGGGGAATTCTGGGAGCTGAAGTCCAGACCTCTTAAAGTTGCTAAGCTTGAAAAATACTGAAATAGATTGTTAAACGTAGGAACTGAGCAATTTATCTCTGAACAGTTAACACTGTCAAATGCTTTGTATTTTTCTTTGTATTTCTGACCGAAAGAGATTTATTTTGTCTTTCTGAAATATCAGGAAAGGGAATGAAATATTCAAACAGCTGAAAGAGATGGGAGCATCTTTGGACTGGGACAGAGCTTGCTTTACTATGGACTCAGTGAGTAGTTAATATCTTCACAGGCAATTTTTTTTCTGTGGGTCAGGATTTCTATATTCTTTCCTCACGTTCAGAGAGCCAAAACACAGCAAAATCTTGATTTAAAACTTAGCAGATTTAGTATGTAGCAGACAAAATTGTATCTGTCCATGGTAAGCTTTGCAGTATATAAAATACACATGCACCCAAATAGTTTGACTTACAACCATAATGGAGTCTGTCCGCTTTGACCATAAGTTATGATGGTTATAAAGTGAGTCACCTACACGACTGACTCATTTGCAGCAGTCGTTAAGCATACATGTTGGTCGTAAAGTGAATAGCTCACTCATGAAGTGAATGCTGCAGTTGTTAAGACAACCTGTTGTGCACTATGGTGTGGTTTTGCCAAAACCTGGAAGTAAATGCTGGTTTGGGGCAAAAAAAAATGTAATAACTTGTGGTCACATTACCACAGGATGTTGTAAAAGGCCATAAATGCAGGACAGTTGCCAAGTGTCTGAAACACGGTCATGTGATGTCACTGCAGGGTGGGAACTGGCTGTCAGAACTGAATACCTTATTCGGGTGTCCATCCTAACTTCAAATGGTCATTAAACAGCCGGTCACAAGTCAAGGACTATCTGTAAATGTCCATTCTCATTTTGTACAGGCCCAAAGTGTAAAAACTCCTGCATGGATCATTATCTTGAAGTGGTGGCTTGCATGTTCCAATGATAATGATTTAGTGGTCCAAATTTCATAAATTCAGTGCCTGAAAAGCTCTGGACCAAATTGTGTGGTATTGTTAAAAATAAAGCAATTAAAAATACTCTACATTATAAGAAACAAAAGAAGACAAAAATGGCTGTCTAGTGATACTCTGAGAATAGCTGAGGAAAGGAGCAAAAGTCAACAGCGACAGAGGAAATTTTACCAAAGAATAGAATAGAATAGAATAGAATAGAACAGAACAGAACAGAACAGAACAGAACAGAACAGAACAGAATAACAGCATTGGAAGGGACCTTGGAGGTCTTCTAGTCCAGCCCCCTGCTTAGGCAGGAAACCCTACACCACTTCAGACAAATGGTTACCCAACATCTTCTTAAAAATTTCCAGTGTTGGAGCATTTTATAAATGAAATTCCATTCATATTTCATATTCTACTTAAGGAATCACTTTCTAGTCCCATTTGTGTCTCAAATTGAGTATTTTCTGTTTTGGAATTTTGGCAGGGGCATTAAGACTATGTTGTGCCTTAATTAAATTAAATTGCTCACTACCACCAAATTGAATTAATTTGGTGATACTGAGCAGTTCCATGTTGGGTGGGTTTTTTTGTTTGTTTGTTTGTTTGTTTGTTTGTTTTTAGAATGATCATCTTCTTAACAATAGAATCAGAAGTTATGTTATTGGCTTCAATGTTGAATCTTGGTGTAAAAATATCCAGGTTCAATTCCCCAGAGATATATCAGCTTCATTGGCTGACTAGTCCCCCTTTTTCTATCTCCCTTTTATTTTGAAAAGGAGGAATATGCAGGAAGTATGCATACATATTTCAAATATACAGGAAAATGTTTATTAAATAAGCCACAGAACCTCTGCTAACATCAGTTCTTTTGAAGGGGAGAAGTTGACTTTCCATTTGTAGCTTGGAATGAAACTTTTTCATTTCAGAATTGGTCCTAAGTGCTTTTAGTGGAGTCTTTGTGACTACGGCATTGATTAGGAATCAGTAAGAAGGAATTCCGTTTTTTATTTACGAGGTAAATTAGCCTTTATTATAATGTTTTTCAACCTTAGCAATTTTAAGATGCGGACTTCAATTCCCAGAATTCAGCAGCAGCATGGGAATTGTCAACCATCTTGTTGGCATATTCAGCAAAAGAAACTTCTTCTTTTTTTTTAACCAAGAGTATAACTTTACTGATAGACCCATACAGGTACAGAAGAAGGGAAGTTAACACTGAGGTTTTTGCACAAAAAAACCAATATAATTAAATGTCTATGGAGATTCTCAGTCAACCAGGTCATGGTTGTCCCAAAGGTGCTCTTTTTCAAGAGGCAACTGGACTTTCTTGCTTTTCTTTGAAGGCATTTCGCTTCTCATCCAAGAAGCTTCTTCAGCTCTGACTGAATGGTAGAATCCTTCCATTCTCCACCATCCAGTCAGAGCTGAAAAAGCTTCTTGGATGAGAAGTGAAATGCCTTCAAAGAAAAACAAGAAAGTCCAGTTGCCTCTTGAAAAAAAAGCACCTTACTGTATTTTTTGGAGTATAAGACCTTTTTCCTCCAAAAAAGAGGGTGAAAATCTGGGTGTGTCTTATACTCCGAATGTAGCCCTGCCCAGCTTCTCAAACTGAGGTTTCAGAGGCTGAAAAAAGCACCAGAAACAAAGCTTCAGAAACAAAGCCTCCAAACAGAGCTTCAGAAAAAAAAAGCCTCAGAAACAGAGCTTCTGGAAAAAAGCCTCAGAAACAAGGCTTTCAGAGGCAGAAAAAAAAAAGGTTTTTCTGAAAGGGGGTTTCAGACGTTTCAGAGGCAGAAAAAAAGCAAGGCACAGAGCTCACAACCAACGAACCTGTTACTAAAATTCACCTCTGAGAACAGCTGATTGGGGGTATTCTGGGAGGCTGATCCACCCACCAATCAGCTTTTTTTTTATTTTCCTCCCCAAAAACTAAGGTGCGTCTTATACTCTGGTGCATCTTATACTCCAAAAAATATGGTAGTTAATTTCTTCTTTTCCCCACTTGAGCCACCCATTGCCCATTGCCCACCAATCTGACTATTTTTGGGAAAACAGTCTGCACCTTCGGAAGGTTCCCATCAGAACAGCCTTGAAGTACCAGGATCTTCTCAGGCTGCAAACAGGTCACATAAATTCCTAATTTCCCTCCCAGCTACCAATACATTCCAACCATTCCTTTCCCTGCTCCCTTCGTTTTTGTTGTCAAGTTGCGAGTAGAGGTGCCTTAAGACTCAGCCTTGACATGAATTCTGGGAACTCCACACCTCTGAAAGTTGCTGAGCTTGAAAAAGACTGGGTTTATTGTAACAATCCTCCTCCTCTTCTTGTCCAGCGTTTCTCTCAAGCCGTGACAGAGGCCTTTGTGCAACTCCACGAACAAGGCCTGATATATCGAGACAGGCGCCTGGTGAACTGGTCTTGTGCCTTGCAGTCGGCCATTTCTGACATTGAGGTACGTGATTGGAGCAGAGCCCCAAATAAGCACCTTTGGTAATATTTAGAGACTAGAAACTGATAGATTGTATTCCTGGCAGGTGGAGAATAGACAGATAAAAGGACGGACAAAGCTCTCTGTGCCTGGGCTTGAGGACAAAGTGCTGTTTGGAGTATTGGAGACATTTGCTTACAAAGTAGAAGGAGAGGAAAGTGAGTTGGACTCTCTGAGGCATGATGATAACCTTAATCATTGCTGAAGGCCACAGGCAAATGCCCCAAATAATGTTTGTTTGTCTATTTACTGTATTTTTGGAGTATAAGACACACTTTTTTCTCTCCTAAAAAAGGCTGAAAATTTGGGTGCATCTTATACTCTGAATGTAAGCCTGCGTGGTGCCCGAAATGGCTACCCAGAACAACTGCTGCCTTCTCTTACCCCTTCCGTGCTTTGTCTGCTTTAGCCACTGGAGCTCCCTCTTAGGATCAGCTGTGCTTTTGAAGCTGTTTTTCAGCCCCAATGTGAGCAAAGCAATCTTCCGTGCTTTGCCTGCTTTTCTAATTGCTGTTCCCTCCGACGATCAGCTGTGCTTTAGAAGCTGTTTAGAAGCCCCAGCTAGCCCCAGCTTCAAAACCAGCAAGCAAACTAATGTGCTGAAGCTGACCAGGCTAAGGACTAGCCAGATGAATACCTGGTAGGCAGAATTTTTTTTTTCCTATTTTCGTCTCCAAAAATTAAGGTGCGTCTTATACTCCGGTGTGTCTTATACTCAAAAAACTACGTTATTTGGTTTTTATAGCCAGTCATCTCAAAAAAGTAACTTTAGATAGCAAACAATCAGAAAAAAAAAAGGCAGTTACAATAATGTTGGACGACTCTTTTTAATTTATCCATTTTTCATTCCAATGACACTTATCTTTCTTTGATGAAAATAGGCATGGAACTTCCTGTATCTACCACCCGCCCTGAGACAATGTTCGGTGACGTGGCCGTCGCCATTCACCCAGATGACTCGCGCTATTTGGTAAGGCTCTTCTGCCCAGGTCCTCCTTTCTGAGTAAAAGGAAGTTTTGGTCCATCCGGAGACCAGATTTAATGTTACTGTATCTTGTAACTGTAATGGCTTGGATCCTTTTCTTTCTTTCTTAAGGAAAGACAGAAAAATAAAGGAAGCCATCTTGAATGATAGGGTTATGTTTGAGATTCTTGACCAGGAAGGACATAAGTAGGAGGATTTCTATCTCCTACTCCCAACTTCTAAGAGTACAAAAGATTTGGGGAGATATATGGCGTGTGAGGAGGGAGAAAAGCTGGAATGTTGGTGTGGGAGTGTCAGAAAGGAAGTATTAAAGTATTAAACTTTTGGGAGCATAACATGCCATTTTTACACTTTAAATAACCCAAAACTGTATGATGTCATTTAGTGATTTGTCCTGAAATTTTGCCCTGTGATTTTGGAACATACAAAAACTGCCAAAAGAGGTTCGGGGAGCCATCTATAAACTCTGGATCTCAATTGAACCATCCTTACTCTAAAGCAATGTTTTTCAACCTTGCCAAACTTTACGATGCATGGACGTCTAATCCCAGAATTCTTCAGCCAGGAAGATGCTGAGGAATTCTGGGAGTTGAAGTCCACACGTCTTAAAGCTGCCCAGGTTGAGAAACACCGCTTTAGGAAGATCCTGAAAAATCAGTGCCCATAATACTGGCCTTTATCACTTTATAGCATAAGATGGGATAGAGCAGCTTTGTGTATTCTACCCTGTTGAGTCCATGGGAGGCCATATTGTCACAAAGTTTTGCCCATCTATTTATTTCAGGCAGAACCCCTTGACCCTACACGTATATGACTTGAACTGTCTTTCTGGCATGTTTTTGGCAGCACTTGCATGGCAAGAGTGTGCGCCACCCATTCACCGGACGTCTCCTTCCTATCATTACGGATCCAGCAGTGGAGGTGCAGATGGGCACAGGTGAGAAACACATCTCTTTCCCACCTGACAGAGGCCAGATGTTGGTGAGGTAAATGCTTGCCTTGAGAGATGCCTCTCAACTTGGGTTTCACACCATCTTTCAGGGGCTGTGAAGGTCACTCCAGCACACAACCACATTGACTACAAACTGGCCCAGAGGCACAATTTGCCGCTTATTTCAGTTATTGCAGAAAACGGCACGATGACTGCAGAATGTGGAGAATGGGTGCAGGTAAGACCAGTTTTGGAATTTATAATGTTTCTGTTATGACTCAAGACAGCTGAACATGTGTTTGGGGGGTGGGGTTTGCCCCTTTTGAAGAGGCAGCACAACCAATTGCTGTAGTAAAATAGATGCCACTGAGTTGGTTTGGACATGGGTGGTTCCTTTTTCAGGGACTGCATCGATTCCTGGCTCGAGAGAAAGTGTTGGCTGCTTTGAAGGAGAAAGGACTCTATCGGGGTGCTAAAGACCATTGCTTAGTCCTTCCTGTTTGCAGGTAATGGGACCCTGAAATGTTTATATTGGGCTGTCCCCCTTTGCTTCCCTCCCTTCAGGGTCATGGGACAGATTTTGTGGGAAGCTGCCAAGAAGTTGCGGGAGGTCAGAGAGTAAACATTTGACAAAAATACATATTATATAACATATCATATGTTAGCACTGATGATATTACTTAGTTTGGTAATGAAATGTCTGCAAGAAAACCATCAAGTTCAGAGAGCACCAAGGACCTCATAGGAACCTTAAATGTACTTGTTGTGACCCAGGCCCAAGTAGTTAGTATTAAATACAAACAGTTCAAAAATAAACAGACTTTATTAGAACAGCTGAGAATTAACTCATTCTCAGCGTAGTCCAAACTAAATTAAAGCAAATTCTTCAAAACACCATTCCTCAGTTTATTACCAACCATGGGATAATTAGGCAAACTGCCAAAGGCTTTTCTTGGCAAAAGTTCAGAAGCAGAAGACGCCGACAAGAAATGAATAGAATGAAACAAGAAGCAATTCTCTCAACGTTGTTTTCCGGCAAAGAGGCCAAGAACTGTTGCTGGTCTTTTAAGCCTTATGGGAGGGGGCCAGTCATCTCTTGGCCCTACTCCCGAGTCGTCCTCTCTGCTTTATCTGCTCCTGCCTTCTGGCAGCTCTTCTCATACGTGCACTAGGAACAGGCTCCTCCTGTTCCTCTGCCTCTCTACTGTCAGCCTCTGGAGGCTCCAAAGTCCGCACATCACTCTCTGATGGCCCTGGCCCCATCTCTGCCTCCGACGCAGAGCCCTCATCTGGGCCTTCCCCAGCTTCCAGGACTGGCCCATGTTCTTCCTCAGCCTCATCGCTGTCCGACTCCGCTGGCAGCTCTGCAGGCTGCCGACGGACCACAACACTACTTTGCAAAGGTCTTCCAATTCCATACTTAGCTTTAATTGTACAATTCAAGCATCCTTATGTTTATTAACCTTTTAGAAGTTGTACTGATAATGTAAGCTTCTCTCCACCTTAACTTTAAAGGTTTAACTCCTCTAGTTCCTAGCTTTGTATCATTAACTGTATTCTGTTTTCATTTCTAAATTTTTGTAGTTGCCTCACATGCTTATCCAAATGGAAAGATGGGGCCTAAATAAAATTAAAAGTATTTTTTTTCTCCCATAGCCGCTCTGGAGATGTGATTGAAATCCTCTTGAAGAATCAGTGGTTTGTCCGAAGTGAAGCCATTGCTCAAAGTGCCTTAGAGGTAACACTCCAATTCTTAATTCTTACCTCCAATAGAGGTAACACTCCAATATCTTAACTTTTGTATTTTATGTATTTTTAATTCTGGCTGTTCACCGCCCTGAGTCCCTTCTGGGAGAAGGGCGATATACAAATTAAATAAATAAATAAATAAATAAATAAATAAATAAATAAATAAATAAATAAATAAATAAATAAATAAATAAATTCAAGGATGGACAACTATGGCAATTTTATGACCTGTGGACTCCAACTCCCAGAATTCCTTAGCCAGCTGTAATAGTCTCAGGAAATCTGGGAGTTGGAGTCCACAGGTTTCCATTTTGGGTGGGGGGGAGTGTCTGTTTGAAGAATTGATGAGCCTGTCAATATCTTTTTATTTTGAGAATGAATCTGCAGGTAGTCCATGAATTATGACCATAATGGAGCCTGTCCATAACCATCTTACGTCATAATGGTCAGAAAATAGGCTGGCCACATGACCGACCCAATTTTATGACCTTTTTTTTGCAGTGAGCATTAAGCAAATGTGGTAGTTAAATGAACCCATTGTTTGCTATGGCACATTTTTTCAGAAAACTGGAAATAAATGCCGCTTTTCGGCAAAACTGTTGCAGTCACATGACCATGGGATGCTGCAAACAGCTATAAATGTGACTGTGTTGCTGAACTCAAGAGTGCGGTGACGTGACTACAAGGAGGGGTGACTGTCAGAACTTGGGATCTGGATTGTAAGTCCCCAATTTTCAGATCTGTCGTAACTTTGAACTTGGTTATAAATTGAAGACTACCTGTAATATATTTGTACATGGCAGCCATGTTTGTTTTATCTATGGTCTGTTGGAAAACACCTGTGGCTTGATTCTAAAGATTATTTACTATCATAGCAATCAAGTCCACACATACTGCTAAGCTAAAATAAAACAAATGCTATTATAGCTTCTTGTGACCTTTGATTCCAATCATAGAAATTAAAGCTTTGCTGTAGAACAGGGGTCCCCAAACTTGGCAGCTTTAAGACTTGTGGACTTTCACTCCCAGAATTCTCCAGCCAGCTATGGCTAGAGAATTCTGGGAGTGGAAGTCCACAAGTCTTAAAGCTGCCAAGTTTGAAGACCTCTGCTGTAGAGGTATATGACAGTGTTTAATTGTACAGGTCATAAATTCATTTATGAAAAAGATAAACAATAGATTCTATAAGAATTCACCTCTCCTGTTTATCTCCCAAGGCTGTGGAATCTGGATCTTTGAAGCTCATCCCACAATTTTATGAGAAAAACTGGAGGACGTGGCTCTTGAACATCAAGTAAGACAAGGGAGATCTCCCCTCAATGGTTTGCTTGTTCTTTTTATTACCCTCTGCTTGGCTGGGCGGGATTTGTGTTTTTTGAAGATTGGTTCAGCATTGTAATCTCCATGTCCATTGTAGGTAAACAATGGCCTTCATTAAATAGTTTATTGGCTTAAATTATTCTGTGTTTGGTCACCACTGTTCAGTCTTGTTGGTGGTAGCATTGTATGGTCTCTTGAGCTCAGCTTTTATTTTATTTTATTTTTTTATTTTTGAATTTATTTTGCAGCTGTTTAGAGATTTCATCTTGAAGGAAATTATGCAAAAGAATTATCTTAGTTTAGGGAAGACCCAGCTAGATGATCTAACATGATGCAGCAGAGTTTCTTATCTTCTTAAACTCCTCATGCTGTCTTTCTGGTGTCCTTGCTTAGTGACTGGTGTATTTCTCGACAACTGTGGTGGGGTCATCAGATTCCAGCCTATCGGGTCATGCTTCCTGGGTCACCTGACCCAGAAGAGGTAAGCATCAACTTTTCTGATTGAATGAATCCTTGGGTGAGGGGGAAGGGGGAGATGTCTGTTTCTCTCAGCCACCATGCAGCTTATATTCCTCTGTGTATGCATTTCAGCAGAAGGAGAGCGATGGGTTATGGGTAGTGGGCAGGACGGAAGCAGAAGCTCGGACGAAAGCAGCTAGCTTGCTGGGAAAATCTGAACAGCAGTTGGAGCTGGTGAGAGGTAAAGTAACAATATAGGAGCTTATAGGTAGTCCTCGATTTATGACAGTTTGTTTAGCGACCGTTCAATAGCACTGAAAAAAGTGACTTATGAGCATTTTTTACACTTCTGACCATTGCAGCATCCCTGTGCTCACGTGATCAGAAGTTGGATACTTGGCAACTGATTCATATTTATGAAGGTTGTCGCGTCCCAGGATTCATGTGATCATGTTTTCCAAATCTTTTTTAAAAAAATTTAATATAATAATTCCATCTTCAATTAAACAATGTGTCGTCCGGGTACAAATACCTTTGTAAATTGATAATTAAGATGTACAACAATATTCATTACATTAGCATTCTATAATATTAAAATGATAATATTAAACATAATAATCATAATATTTACTTCTCTCTCTTAACATATCTTCTTTATTTCACTCATCTTTTTCTTGTTTCCCTGTTTCTAACTTCCGTTTTTGTTATCTAAACATTGATAAAATAAGTCTCATGTCATATAATATTCAGTTTGTTCTTTCTCCTTAATTGCAAGTGTTAATCTATTCATTTCTGCACATTCCAATATTTTCCTGATCACACTCTCATCTGTGGGGATTGTTTTGCAAATCTTCTGACAAAGTCAATGGGGAAGCAGATTACCTTAAAATCTGTGTTACTAATTTAACAACTGCAGTGATTCACTTAACAACTGTGGCAAGATAATTCATAAAACAGGGCAAAGCTCACAACAGTTGTCTCATTTAGCAACAGAAATTTGGGGCTTAACTGTGGTCGTAAATTGAGGATTACCTGTACATTTCTGTGAGGAAAAGAGACATTTGCATTCCCAGGAAGCCGTTTTAATGAGTATTCACAAGAGGCCTCTGAGTGGAATTAAAAGTGCTAGTTTTGACCTTAATGTCCTTTATGGTTTGACTACAAGGTACCTCAGAGGCTACATTCTCACTAGAAATGATCTACCTAGTACATTCATCATGGGAAAAACTCTTGGAGATCACATGTTTTTTTGGCAAGATTAGAGGAGCTGAAACAGAGTTTTTCTGAATGGCTCCAATTATGTGAATGTCAGGCTTTGCCCCAATATGATGGTCTTGTCAGTGTTCTGAATAACGCATCCGCCAAAAGCAGAACTCTGAGGCAGGTAGCTTCCTCAAACAACATGTTTATTGGATACACCATATTGGCACAGCTAGTGAAAACCAACTCTAAAAGTTCCTGCGGTTTCCCCCTAATTAAAAGAGCAAACATTTCCCCTCCTAGGTGTCACCAGTCACATTGTCCAATAAAAGTAGCTGGCAGGCAGCTTGGTCATGCCTCTCCTTCACTTGCCACCTGTTGGGATGACCTTAGTTCCCACAAGAAAACTTTTTGCTTTGACTGGTAGCTGGTATATCCCCCCTTTCAAAGTTTGTGGCAACTATGAGGCAGGAAAAGATGACTTCAGCCAGGTTCCCTTCAGAGTTGACAGGCCTGTAGAGAACAAGGAAGATGATCTTAATGAAGACCTACAAAAAAAAGGGCTGAAGCATAGTTTCAATCCAGAACAGCCTGAAGTAACTTGGACAGATACCTCCCTAATTCACCAAATGATAAGAAGGAGGAGGAGGTACAGCCCAATCAGACTTTTAAGATTCTGCATAATCTTATAATCTCATATTTTTAGTCTTTCTGTGGACTTGATTTCCTGGTCTGGTCTAGCTGCTGACATGGCTTTCTGAAAAACATTACATGTATAACTGCTTTGGTGATGATTTATTTATTTATTTAATCGGTTTTATATGGTGCTGTCTTATTAGCATTGGCTGGTATCTAATTGTGTTATTTTTTTTTAATGCTATGCTATGTGACGGGTATAGTGATATTGATTATAATTTAATTACAGTATGGATTTGCTTTTACCATCGATGGTTTAATCTTGTGGTGCTGATGTGGTTTAGACTTTTTAATGCCTCTATTATTTATATATTCATATTCTCCCATAGCTGCTTTCATTAAAACATTTAATTGAACCCTGCTGAGACTTTCTCCCAAGTTTGTTAAGACTGGGGGATGCAGTTAGAAATAGGAGAAAGGGAAGACTTTTCAGAACTGGTCCCTGTTGCCTTCCTGAAGCTGGATACATTTCTAGGAATCATTTTCCACAAACATCTGGCTCCACTGAGTCTTTTAGAATCAAAGGGGCTGTGAGATGTTTTTAAAGGCAAAATTTCCATTTGCTCTTCTCTAGATGCTGATGTCTTGGACACTTGGTTCTCCTCCAGCCTTTTCCCTTTTGCTGCTTTGGGCTGGCCCCACAAGGTGAGTAACCTTTGGAGAAATAGAGCAGTTGGCTTGCATTGACCATATTTGTGTTAGTCTGGACAGGAAACCAAAGCTAATGAATAGTAACAATATCTTTAGTTTAACGTTACGGTAACAATCTTGCAAGCCTTCTCCCCTCCTTTGCCTTTGCTTTCCAGAGAACTAGGGAGGGTCCCTTCTGAGGCGCTTTGCCCATCCCCATTCATTCTGTGGGTTGAGATGTCTTGTATGGGACCATTGCCCAAGCTGTAGTTTTTGCTCCTGTCTCCCAAAGTTATTTTCACTAGGCTACATCCAGCTTTCCTACATATATACCGTATTTTTCGGAGCATAAGACACACAGGAGTATAAGACGCACCTTAGTTTTTGGGGAGGAAAATAGGGAAAAAAATTCTGCCTACCAGGTATTCATCTGGCTAGTCCTTAACCTGGTCAGTTTCAGCACATTAGTTTGCTCGCTGGTTTTAAGGTTAGGGCTGGTTGGGGCTTAAAAACAGCTTCTAAAGCACAGCTGATCTTCGGAGGGAGCAGCAGTTAGAAAAGCAGGCAAAGTGCGTTGGGGCTGAAAAACAGCTTCAAAAGCACAGCTGATCGTCAGAGGGAGCTCCAGTGACTGAAGCAGGCAAAGCATGGAAGGGGTAAAAGAAGGCAGCAGCTGTTCCAGGTAGCCATTTTGGGCACTGCGTGGGGTTATATTCAGAGTATAAGACGCACCCAAATTTTCAGCCTCTTTTAGGAGGGAAAAAAGTGCATCTTATATTCCGAAAAATATGGTAGGTATATTGGATCCCAACTCCCATCATCCTTGACTCTTGTTCAGGCTCACTGGAAATTATACGTGCGAATCAAACTCCCTCTCTTCTTATCCATGGCTGTCGGCCTTTCTGGGTGGAATGTGTGAATTGCAATCCACAATCCAGGATAAGTTGTTTTGGCAGCAACATGTTCTGCTACTGGCTGTTTTTGATAAGTCCTTCCCAGAAAAGATAAGAGAGTCAGAATGTTTGAAGTGGGTGGCATTTTGGCACTCAATTGCTTTCCCGTGAAAATTGTCACAATAGAGAAGTCCCAACACAAGATAAAATAATATTTAAAATCATGGAATGCGCTGAGATGGACAGACTCACCAAGGAAATTCAAGGAAAGGAAGAATCTGACTGCTACCTGGTTTGGCAAAGGTGGTATCAATGGTTAGAGGGAAAAAAACCAAACCAAAAGAGGATCCTAAAAGAGTAAAACAAAATTCTGTACCAAATAAGATATAACAACGCATAATTAAATATTAAAAAATAATATCGTTATATAAGGCGAGAGGAAGGAATACATATCGAGGAATTTAGGTTATTGATGTCAGAGGAAATCAGACATTACGTTTAGATGTTATTTATGTTATTTATGTCGTATTTGTCGCATTTGTGTATGTGTATTTTGTGTGTTTATATATGTAATAAAAATTTATATATAAAAAAGAAAATTGTCACAATAGAAAAAAAGCATGTTTTAAAAACTTTGGTAGAGAAGGATTTTGCAGCTTTCGACCAACCTGGCCCCTTCCAGATCTGATGGGACTGGAGCTGCCAAGAGACCCTGCCCACATAAACCCCACACCCAAGTCTGTCCTCTTTCTCTTCAGAATCAAGCCAAGAGTTGAATTGCTGGTCTTTCCATTTCACAGTTTGGGCATGGAGATTTAGGCTTGATTCACCCATCATGGAAAACCATAAGTTGGTTTAGGTAGTTTAACGACTGAGCTGGAGATCAGCTGGGCTGATCAAGAATGTGAAGACATCAACCATGACTTGCAAATCACAGTGGCCCTTTCCACCCAAAATGCTAAAATAATACAAAAACTTGTATTATTATTGTTATTATTATTATTATTATCATCATCATCATCATCACCATCATCATCATTATTGTATTGTATTAAAAACTATATTATGGTTTAGAACAGGGATGTCAAACTGAATTTCTTCGAGGGCCAGATCAACATTGTAGTTGTCCTCCATGGGCCGATGGTGGTGGAGGAGACAGGACAGATGGTAGACGGGACGGATGCCTCCTGCAGCACCCTGCTGGCCAAAATGGGGCACGGGGAGGCGCGCAGCCCTCCCGTGCTCCGTTTTGGCTGGCAGGGTGCTGCAGGAGGTCGTCCAGACCGAGAATGGGGTGCGGGGAGGCTGCCCATGTCCTGTTTTGACCAGCAGAGGCACAGTGGACCAGTCCTTTGCTATTTCCAGGCCAGCCTCATGGGCCAGATCTAAGCACCTTGAGTTTGACACCCCTGGTTTAGAATATTTTGTGGGATTAATCATTCCAACCCCTCGCTTTCCTACCAGAGGTTCCTGAGATTGATAAACAAAAAAAGACGCAAATAACCACTTGTTTTCTTAAAATGTGTTTTATTTTACAGATTATCTGTACCACCTACTCAAAACAATGCTGAAAAATATACAGTGTAAAATAATGTAAAACACAACCCCTAAATAACACCCTGCAGCTTGCCATAAAAGCCAACAACCCAGTCAGCCCCATATAAAAACCACAGCAAGATGTAACTTAGTGGCTGCCGATTCACTACCTGATTATGTATCCGGAGTGTGCTAAAAAAAAAGAAGTGTCTTCTTTCTCCAGTCTAAAAATTCTCTAAAAATTCTCCTGGATTTTTAGGAGTAGGTAGACCAATTGCATCAGTGGGAGCAACAAGTTTTACAACATTGGGGCAATCACCCCAAAGTCTTGCTCCTGAGTTCACTCTTTTCACTTCTTGTGAACATGGGAACTTCAGCAGATGCTCTCTAGATGATTTCCCAAGATGGACCTTGTGAATAAGGTGTTTCCTAATGGTGACAGTGATCTCAGAGGCATCTCTTATTTCCCTCAGACAGAAGACCTCCAGCAATTCTTTCCCAACAACCTTTTGGAGACTGGGAGTGATCTTCTATTCTTTTGGGTCGCCCGGATGGTGATGCTGGGAAAACAGCTAACCGGAGAACTGCCTTTCTCTCAGGTGAGGGCTGGAAGCCAGGTGTCTTGCCTTTTGGAGCTTTTGGGCTTCAGGGACCTGAGGGCACAGTAGTAGGAATACCCAATAGAGAGTTGGGAGCCAAAGTATCCATTAACATCGAGAAGCTTTGTTTAGTCTTAGCAATAGCACTTAGACTTATATACCGCTTCACAGTGCTTTACAGCCTTCTCTAAGCAGTTTACAGAGTTAGCATATTGCCCACCAACAATTAGTTTTTTTTAATGACAGTGTGTTTGCATAAAAACCATAGCATCTGCTTTACAACCTCCACATTCACTTAATGGCTGCTATAAAAAACATCATAAAATCAAGATTGGTCATGTGACCAATCTGTTTTACGACCACAGGAACATATGACCATAGTGGGCAGACTCCATCATGGTCCTACGTCAAGGATTACCTGTGTTGTACTTTGTCACTCTGGATCATAACTAGGGGGCTATCGTGACCCTTTATAGTCTTCCCAGTTATATGTTGTAAATTAGAAATAAAGAATTCAGTTTGATTGCACTCCACCAGCTACAGCCAAAGTCAGTGAAGAATTATAAAAACCATAGCCTGAAATAGGAAACCTCATATTGTTTACCTCAGTTTTTGTTGAAGAACCATAATACATCCACTACAGGATAGGCAGTTTAGTTGGGGCTTTAAATATCCAGAATGTAGCTAATGACAAGGAGTCATAGTTATACAAATTATTTGGAGAAAATCATGTTCCTTTCTACTGTTCAAGCACTCCCACACTCCTAGAGTGGAGGATGTGATCTTAAGTTACAAGATGGCAGTTTTTCCTCATATGTCAGGAGGATTTTCTTCACGTATTTGTTCATCAGTGCAACCAGTTAGGTAGAGAGCTGATGGACTTCTCTCTTAGATGTCCTTGATATACAGAAGACACACAGCCATTGTTTAGAGAAGTTTGAACTTGGATTGAGCAGAAGGTAGGACTTGGTCACCTAACTAAGCTTGGTTACATCTCAGTTCTAGGATTTTACGAATTCTGTGTCTGAGAAAAAAGAATCCAAGGTGAAGATTTTTAGTACAGTTTTGTGCTTCATCCTGTCGTCTTTGTCTCTGTTTCAGGTGTTCCTTCACTCCTTAATCCATGATGCTCATGGCAGGAAAATGAGCAAATCTCTTGGGAACGTGATTGACCCTTTGGATGTTATTCATGGGGCCTCTTTGCAGGTATTTTGCTTTTATTTATTTACTTATTTATTTATTGAATTTATATTGCCGCCTGTTCGCCCATGGCAACTCTAGGCAGCTTACAGAATATAAAACCTCATTTAAAACAATAAAACTAATAAAAAGAATCAAATAAATTAATATAGTATAATATAATAAAATCATAATAAAATTACCCCCCGCCCTGCGCCCTGGTGACAGCAGATCACACGAGCCATTTAATGGGCTCCATCTCTCTCTGGGTTCCCTAGGTCCTCTGGCAGAACCAGGTCTTTAGCGCCTTCCGGAAAAGTATTAGAGTGGGGGCCATTCTAATCTCTGGGGGGATGATGTTCCAGAAAGAGGGAGTCACCACAGAGAAGGCCCTTCTTCTGGGTCCCACCAGGTGTATCTCCCTCAGGGATGGGATCCACAGCATTCCCTGTCTCCCCGCTCTGATGGGTTAGGTAGATGTGAGGACATTTAAGAGTTTCCTTTGTAATCTTCCCTTTGAGTTTTAAAAAATCCTCCCAACTGGGCTTATTTCAACAACAGCGGATATAGGATTATAGTCTGGAGACTCAGAATCTTCTTAAGGGAATGAGGAATGCTTCTGTCAGTGTTCCAGAACAACCCAACTCCAAGTAAAAACTCTGAGACATCTTAAGTATCTTTAAGTACCTTTAAAGTACGTGGGGATTTATATCTTGAAAAACATGAGAATGATGCTGCCTGTTCTGTCCCCGTACCAAGCACACACCCAACCAGCCAGCCGAGGGTTAAATAAACTCTTCAAACACACAACGTCAGTGATAAGGAACTTGGCAGCAACTCCGTGGCTGCCTGCCAAGAGCTTTTACTCCAATAACACAGACAAAAATACACACAGTTTGAATAGTCCAGTTCGTAATTAAATCCACAGCAAAATAGGTGTTGTGTCCGAAGGTGCAAAGTGCTTCGCCAGAGATTAGCTTTGTCCGTCACAGAGTCGGAATGGCCACCACACTCCCTTTTATAGCCTGTGGGGTGTAGTCCAGTGACTCAGCTTAATCTCTGGCACGCCTCCTTTTCTGCTGCACACGCTTGTCTCTCCAACGCTGGCGTGGGTCCAACCACAATGTTTCTTCGTCACTATCCGACGGCTCGGAAACACCTGGCTCCTGGCCAATCTCTTCGCCTTCGGGAGACACCTGAGGCATTGCCAGAGAGGAGGGGCCTGGAGAGGGAGGCCTGGCCGTCTCCTCTCCTTCATGTTCGGAGCCTTCTTCCTCTGATAAGATAGGCTCGGAGGACGGAGCCACAACACTGCCAATATTTTTGGTGCTATGATTTTGGGGAAAGGTTTTGGGTAGCCCGTAAAAATGGGTTTGGGTTGCATGAAGGTGGCTTCCTGTCAGTCACTGGCTGCTTCTATTCCTGTTTCAGGTCCTACAGCAGAAGCTAAAGGACAGCAATTTGAGTCCACGAGAGCTTGTCATCGGTTCAGAAGGCCTGGTAAGCCCTTTCCTTTTTTGTCCCCACCCCACCCCCACCCCCACCCCTCTCTATTCCCATGGCCCTTGTGATCTCACTTCTCCCCTCTGCTCCCTTTCAGCTGCAGAATTTTCCTCAAGGAATTGCTGAAAGTGGCTCTGATGCTCTAAGGTTTGCTCTCTGCCGTTACGATGCCCACGGTGAGAAATCCATTCATTCAGTCCTTCTCGCATGATGTTGAACTGTTGCTGGCCCTTTAAGAACTCCTAACAAGAATAACGAAACCAGCAATTTATTATTGACTTGGCCATTGGTCAAACTCTCAGTAGTTGTTCCAACCAAGGAGGCTAGAATGATACAGATTTTGGAAAAAGTTTCTTTCATGCTGGTCTGGTTGAAAATATAACTTTGAAAATTGTAAGGGTGAAGTCCCATCGAGACATACATTGAATTCATTAAGGTGACCCACCCTTCCTTCCTTCCTTCCTTCCTTCCTTCCTTCCTTCCTTCCTTCCTTCCTTCCTTTCCTTTCCTTTCCTTTCCTTTCCTTTCCTTTCCTTTCCTTTCCTTTCCTTTCCTTTCCTTCCTTCTTCCCTCCTTCCCTCCCTCCCTCCCTGCAGTAGAAGTCCATATATCTTAAAGTTTCCAAGGCTGTGAAGTACTGCTTTAACTGTTACACCAAGCTGGCTTTCTTGCAACAAAGAATCTCCTGTTCATTTATTTAGATTTAAAGGAGATGTAAAAGAGTCAGAAGAATAAGGAAATCTGGGGTGTCAGGAGAGATATTGTGGGAGGAATCAATAGGCACCATGTAGTTAGTCCTGACTTCATGATATAATACAACTACTGGTTGTATAAATTAATGACAACGGTCTATTATAGGTGCGCTTGAAAATTTAGACTCTACTTAATTTATATCCCAACAGGCACCAGTATTAATTTAGATATGGCAGACATGGAAAAAGCCTCCCATTTCTGTAATAAGGTGTGGAATGCCCTAAAGTTCACTTTTGCAGCCTTGAGGGAAAACTTTGCCCCTCTGGATCCAGAGCAGGTAACTGGGTGTGACAACTATGATAAAATTGTGGGAAGATGTTTAAAAATTGCACTGTTTTTTATTGTGTGGGATGAAAGCTCAGTTGAGACATTGGTGACTCCTATATCCAATTTAGGTAATATTTCTAACCTTGGTTGCCCAGATGGTGTTGAAGATCATTGGATGTTGTCTACCTTTGGTCAAGAACTAAGAAGAGGCATAGATAAATAAACATCAGGTCCCCAAATATTGTGGGTCTTCTGAACTTTGGAACTCCTGGTGATGTGGATAACTAGCTCATATAACAGAATAACAGAGTTGGAAGGGAGCTTGGAGGTCTTTTAGTCCAATCCCCTACTCAAGCAGGAGACCCTATACCATTCCAGACAAGTGGCTGTCCAATCTCTTCTTCAAAGTGATGGAGCACCCACAACTTGTGAAGGCAAGCCATTGGCACAGTAGTTAGAATGCTTTACTGCAGGCTACTTCTGCTGACTGCCGGTTGCCGGCAGTTCAAGTCTCACCGGCTCAAGGTTAATTCTGCCTTCCATCCTTCCGAGGTCGGTAAAATGAGGACCCAGATTGTTGGGGGCAATATATTGACACTGTAAACTGCTTAGAGAGGGCTGTAAAGCAATGTAAAGTGATATATTAAGTGCTATTGCTATTCCACTGGTTAATTGTTTTCACTGTCAGGAAATTTCTCCTTGTTTCTAGGTTGGTTCTCTTCTTGATTAATTTCTTTTTTTTTTTTTTAAACAAACTTTATTCGTATTTAAAAAAAGGACATTTAAAACAATTATAAGAAAAACTAAACAAGTTTTTCTTAATCAAACACACAAATTACAAGTACATATACTATACATATATAGTGCTCAACTTCATCTATCAACTACTTTCTAATGTTATATATACATATATATATATACGTACAGTGACTTATTTCCTTCTATATCTCTCTGACAGTGCAGTTGTTTATTTGCATTAATTTCTCCTAATTTTCATCTCTAAGCATTCCCTCTCTCTGACTTATCCACTGGTACCAGCTATTCCATATTTTGAAGTATTTTAGGGTTAATTTATCCATCTCTGCGCATACATAGATTTTCTGTATTACTTCCTGATCAGTTGGCAAACGGTCTATTTTCCAGAGTTGTACCAACGCTAATCTTGCCGCTGTTATAATGTGGAGTATTAGGTATTTTATGTCCTTCCTAATATTCTTATTGATCATGCCGAGTAAAAAGACTTCAGGTGTTAATTCAATTTCGTGATTTGTTATCTCTAATATCCATGTTTTTATTTTGTTCCAATATTTTTTGATTTTTGGGCAAAGCCACCAAGCATGGTAAAAAGTTCCCTGCGCTTTTTTCCATTTCCAGCAAGCCGGGTTCACATTTGGATACATTTTTGCTAACCTTGCAGGTGCCAGATACCATCGGTACCACATTTTATAATGATTTTCTTTGTATGATACCGATTTTGTCATTCTATAGTTATCTTCCCATGCTCTTTCCCAATCTTCTAATTGTATATTATGCCCTATGTTCCTCGCCCAGGCTATCATCTGCCCTTTGACCAACTCTTCTGCCAAATCGAATTCGAGTAAATATTTGTAGATTTTTGAAATTAATTTCCCTTCTTTTGATTCTAATAGTTTGTCTAATGGATTTTGTTTTAAATCTATTCCTTCTTCCTCTTGGTCTTTTCTGTATCTTACTTTTATTTGCGAGTAGGGCCACCAGTCTATTCCTATTCCTTGTTCTTTGAGCTCTTCCCTAGTTTTCAATTTCCCCTGAACATCTACTATTTCTCTGTATCTTAGAATCTTTTGTTTTGATAATATGTTGGGGTGAGTTATTGCTTCTATAGTCGATAGCCAGCCGGGAATTTTCATGTAGTGTTTTTGTTTAATTTGTAGCCATGTGTTAATTAAGGATCTCCTAATTGTATGGTTATTAAAATGTTTATATATTTTATTTCCTGAACTCCATATAAAGGCGTGCCATCCCTTCATTAAATCATGCCCTTCTAAATTTAGCAATCTTTGATTATCTAAGGTTATCCAATCTTTAATCCATAATAAACTGGCAGCCTTGTAATATTTATCCCATGCCGGGAGTCCAAATCCACCTCTACTTTTATCATCTTGTAGTATATTCAATTTTATTCTTGATTTCTTCCCTTCCCACACGAATTTTTTAGTTATTTTATCCAAATTATCAAAGAATTTCTTATCTAATTTTATTGGAATTGTTTGGAATAAATAAAGGAGTCTTGGCAGTATGTTTGATTTTATTGCTGCTATTTTCCCCAGTAAAGACAATTTTAGTTTCCCCCATTTTTCTAAATCTTCCTTTATTTTCTGGACTAAAGTAACATAATTGTCTTCTTTTATTGTTGTCGTTTTGGCCGTCAAATTTATCCCTAGGTATTTAACTTTTTTAACTGTCTGCAGACCGGATTCTTTTACTAATTTCTCTACTTGTTTTGTTATCATGTTTTTTGTTACCATTTTTGTCTTTTCTTTATTAATTTTTAAACCTGCTACCTTTCCAAATTTTTCAATCTCTTTTATTAATTTTGGGGTTGTTTCTAATGGGTTTTCTACGAAAAAGACAAGGTCGTCTGCAAATGCTTGGACCTTGTAATCCTCTCTCTTGATCTTTAATCCTTGAATTTCTTTATTTGCTCTAATTCTGATTAATAAATTTTCCAATGTTAAAATAAATAGTAAAGGGGAAAGTGGACATCCCTGCCTTACTCCCTTATTTATTCCAAAAAATTTTGTTGGGTCACCATTCACCAAGACACATGCTTTCTGATTCTGATATATCGATGTTATCATTTTAGTGAATCTTTCTCCAAAATTCATACTTTTGATTTGTTGCTTCATAAATTGCCAGTTAACTTGGTCAAACGCTTTTTGTGCATCCAGAAAGATCAGTGCTACCTGTCTCTCTGGATGCACCTCATAATATTCTAAAACATCCAATGCTATTCTTAAATTGTTTTTTATCTGCCTTGTAGGCAGAAAACCATTTTGATCCTGGTGTATTTTATTTTGTAATATTATTTTCATCCTATTGGCAATTATGCTCATGAAAACTTTATAATCGGTATTCAACAAAGAAATCGGCCTATAATTTTTTATTAGTGTGGTATCTGTCCCCTCTTTAGGTATTAAGGAAATATATGCTTCTTTCCATGTGTTGGGTAGTTTTGCCTCCATTAGGGCCTCATTATATATTTCTAACAGTATTCCATTTAATGGATCTCCAAATGTCTTATAGAATTCTATTGGTAAACCGTCTGTCCCCGGGGTTTTGTTATTTTTTTGCCTCTTCAGTGCCTCTTTTAGCTCCCCCATCGTAATCTCCTTATCTAATAATTCTCTTTCTTCCTCTGTTAGTATTTGCAATCCCTCCCCTTTTAAATAATATTCAATTTCCTCCTCTGTTACTATATCCTTTTCGTACAGTTTTTGATAATATTGGACTGTTATGTCCTTTTTTCCCTCTAGGGCCCATTGAATCCTTCCCTCATCATCTCGTAATTTCTGAATTGTTCTTTTTTCTCTTTCCTTCCTCAGCCTATACGCCAGCCATCTCCCTGGTTTGTTTGCGTTTTCAAAATAATTTTGTCTTATATATTTCAATGCTGTTGCATATTTCCCTTGCTCTAATATGTTTAGGTTATGTTTTGCTGTTAACCAATTTAACCTTATTTTTTCATCCCCTGGGTTTCTTTGCAATTTACATTCCCAATTTTGAATTTCCTCTAATAATTTATTATATTCTTTCTCTCTCTCTTTTCTCCGTTTTACATTATATGATATTGTGAGGCCTCTTACATATGCTTTGGTTGTATCCCATAGGTTTTGTAGGGAAGTGTGTTGCTTTGTGTTTTCCTTATAAAACCATTCTAGCTCCTTTTCTATGTAATTCTTATACTCTTTTTCTTGCAGTATCTGTGTGTTCATAGTCCATCTATTCTTCTTTCTCTGCTGACCTCTCCACTTCATCATTATCGGGTTGTGGTCAGCCCAATTATTTGGTAAAATATCTACTTCTTCTATCTCCATTATTAACATCTTAGTTACCCAAATCATATCCAACCTTGACCATGATTTATGCGGATTCGAATAATATGTATAATTTCTTGCTTCGGGGTTAAGACATCTCCAGCTATCTACCATATCTAACTCTTCCACCATATCCATAAAGGTTTTAGGTAATACGTTTTTTTTATTTTTGTTTTGCTGACCACTTTCATAATCTTTTCTTACATCTAAGATAGCATTAAAATCCCCAATCAGACAGACATTCTCCATTTTTTGTTCTATAATTTTCTCATGCACTTTTTTGTAGAATTCTAATTGTTGACTATTTGGGGCGTATATTACTACCAATAATATCTTTTTGAGCTCAAGATTTAGCTCTACCATGACTATCCTACCTTCTGTATCCACATACCTCATCTTACTGTCTATTCCTTCCTTGATATATACCACCACTCCTTTTTTTTTTTCCTCTGCCAATGAAGCGTATTCTTTACCTAATTTTTTATATTGTATATATTTAATATCCTGTTTTCTTATATGTACCTCCTGGAGGCACACAATGTCTAATTTTTGTTTCAAATTTTTTTTGTAAATTTGGTGTCGTTTGGATGGTGAGTTGAGTCCATTAACATTTACAGATAGTATTTTTAAAGTCCGTTCCATTTTTTTTTATTGACTTTCCTGTTGTTTCTTCTTTATTTCTTCCTGTTCCTTTTTTTTTGCCTCTTGTCTGCACTCCTTCCTCTTCCTGGGTCTCTCCTTCATCTACTTTCCCTCCTTGTTGTGGTGTTCTTTCCCGATCTCTCTTCTGTTTTCCTTTGATATTCCGTCCTTCCTCTTCTTTATTACCATTTGTTGCTTCAGCACCCATCATTTGGTCATATAATTCTTTTGCTTTGCTGTGCGAGTCCACCTTGATTTTCTTTCCCTGCTACGTTACTAACATTCCTTCCGGGGTTATCCATTTGAATGGTATATATCTTCTGTTTAGTAACGTGGCCAGGAACCAATAATCTCTTCGCAAATCTCGTATTCTTTTAGGTACTTGCTTTAGGGTGATTATTTCTTTATTTCTATAATACATTGGTTCATCCTTTGTTATCTTATATACAATATCCCTCACCTTCCTTCTTACAAATCTTATGTGTACCTCCCGAGGGAGTTTGTTTTGTCGGGCGTAGTTAGTGTGGACTCGGTAAACTTCATCTAGTTCATTAATTATCTCGTCTTTTTCTCTCTGGAGTGCCTCTGCTATCATCTCAGCCATTACCATCGTCAGATCTTCCTCCCGGTCTTCCGCTACGTTCTGGAAACGCAAATAGAATGCTGCCTTCTCCATTTCTAATTGGGCCACAGTGTTCTCAAGTTCCTTATTTAATCCTGTCATTTTTGTATCTAATGCTTCTAATTTTTCTTCCGTCAGTTCCGTTTTTTGTTCTATTTCTTTTATTCTTTGGTCATTTTTTTGAATGATTTCTTGTATTAAGTCCATTTTTCCATCAATCTTTTGAATGTCATTCTTGACTTCTCTCTTTACCTCGTCCATGTCTTTTCTGGATTGTTCATGGTTTCTGGTCATACACTCTTGCATTTTGGCCATAGTTTCCTGAATTGTTATGAGCGTGGCCTGCATTGTTGGCATATTAGGTGTACTGGGTTGCTTGTCTGATGCAAACATTCCCTCCAAGGTTTTCTGTGTCACTGGGGAGGCCGTTGTTCCTGTTAAAAATGGTGTTGGCTTCTTAGCTGTTTTCAACGTGGTTGTGGTAGTGCTAGTCATTTCTTTCAAAATCTTATATTGTTCTCCCAGTATTTTATCAACTTTCTCCCAAATCACCATCCAAATTTCTATAATTTCTATAATTCCTTTCTTTTCTTTTCTCTTTTTTTCCCCTCTCCTTATAAGAGATCTGTAAAGCAATGTAAAGTGATATATTAAGTGCTATTGCTATTCCACTGGTTAATTGTTTTCACTGTCAGGAAATTTCTCCTTGTTTCTAGGTTGGTTCTCTTCTTGATTAATTTCTATTCATTGCTTCTTCAAATGCTTTGAAGAATAGGCTGACCCCCATCTTCTTTGTGGCGCACCCTCAAATATTGGAACACTGCTATCATGTCACACTGCTAGTCCTTTTTTCATTAGACTAGACATTGATTATTGCATTAGAAGTTAATTATTAACTCCTGACAGTTGTTTGGAAGCTGTGCGAGTGGGGAACTGTGCTTCTGCTATGATTTACCAGATAAACACAACTTAGAAATGACCATATCTAGAGTTGGCCAAGAAATTCCAGTCTCGGCATCTACCATCTTTAGCACAACTACAGTGATGGAGAGCAATTAGGTGCAAATTAGGGGCTGCATTATAGAAATCTGGAATGTAGCATTTTTTCCATATGTGTGCAAAATAGTCCTTGATTTATGACCATAATGGAGCCTGCCCATTATGGTTATAAATTGAGGTAGTCATAAGTGCACCATCATGACCCAATTGTGACCCTTTATCCAGCAGTCATTAAATGAATCACCAAGGTCATTAAATGAATCCATGATCGTTAGTGCAGGCCACAGTTTAAGCATTTTTTGCTGAAAATCCTAAGTAAATGTCATTTTCCAACAAAAACGTAAATAGTCACTTGACCACAGGGCACTGTAAACGGCAGTAAATGCGCTCACATGACCATGTAGGGCAAGGGGATGGCCATTGGAACTTCAAAACCAGGTCATAAATACCTTTGGATGGTCTGTCATAACTTTGAGCAACCAGTCATAAGTTGAGGATGTCAGCGCTCCAAGTCATGCACCCATTGAAAAATAGAACTCCGAGGCAGGTAGTTTCCTCAAAGAACAATTTATTGGATACATCATATTGGCACAACTGGTGAAAACCGACTCTGAAAGTTCCCGCAGTTTTCACCTAATTAAAAAATGAAAGTTTCCCCTTTCCCCCAAGTCATCAGTCACATTGTCCAATAGAGGCGCTGGCCGGTTGCTTGATTACTCCACCACTCCTCTCCCAGCCACCTGTTGGAATGACCTTGGTTCCCACAGGAAACTTTTGACTGCAAAGCCCCAGCTATCTATTTTCCCCCCTCCCTGTCCCCTCTTCTGCCTTGTGGCAACCCTGAAGCCACAAAGATGGCCTCAGCCAAGTCCACTTCAGGGTTGACAGAGGACTGTAATGTAATGATCCCACCTTTCAAACTTGTCCTTAAAGAGAAGTAAGAGAAGATCACATATGATCTTCTCTTAACTCTATACTTATGACTTCTGTGCAGTCAGCTTTTAACCCACACAATCTTCCTCCTATACCTTCATTAATACCACAAAGGCATCATGACTCTGAATTATCTTTCTTTATGCCTTCCAGGTCCTCCCAAGCTTTCCGATGGACCAGTGGATCTTGAGCCGACTCTATCACACAGCAGAATATTGCACCCAGCACCTTGAGAACTACAAATTGCATTCTGTGACCAATGCTATTTATCTTTTCTGGGTGCAAGATTTTTGCAGTACCTATCTGGTGAGCTTACTATTGATTCAGGGTTCAACAACCCCCTTGCTGTGGGAGGAGCTTAGTTTGGCCTAGGAAAGCATGCAGGTGTCAGGGTTCCAAGTAACACCCCCAACGAAAGAAGACTCCGAGGCTAGAAGTCCCTCAAAGTTCCATTTTATTAGAGATGTCATATTGGCACATCTGGGAAAACCCAAATCTGAAAGCTCCTGGGTTTTCCCCACCCAAAAGAAAGCCCACGTCCCTACCCCAGCACCCACATGTCCATCACATGTTCTAATCAATGAACCGTCCCAACTGGAGATGCCTCCCAGTCACCCCACTCCAGGTGCAGGGCAGGATGTCCTTGACTCTCAGAGAAGAGAATGTTATTATGGCTAGATATCTCCCCTACTCCATACAATCACCCCTCCCAGTTTCCCACAGCACTAAATGCGGCAGCCCTGACGATCCCAAGTAAAAGATGGCCTCCAGGGCTGACAGCAGGTTGATGTTAAGAAGGAAAATGCACAGAGAGTCCAAGAATTTGGGGGGTTTGATTTTTTTTTCATGTGAGATTCCTCATTGGAAGCCCACATGGAGTAAAGATAGTCCTCCATTTACAACCACAATTGAGCCCAACATTTCTGTTGCTAAGCGAGACAGTCGTTAAGTGAGTTTTGCCCCATTTTATGACCTTTATTGCTGCAGTTGTTAAGTGAATCACTGCTGTTGTTAGGTTAGTAACACGGTTGTTAAGTGAACCTGGCTTCCCCCTTTGACTTCGCTTGTCAGAAGGTCGCAAAAGGGGATTACATGACCCCGGGACACCGCAACCGTCATAAATATGAACCAGTTGCCAAGCGTCTGAATTTTGATCACGTGACCATGGGGATGCTGCAATGGTTGTTAAGTGTGAAAAATGATCCTAAGTCACTTTTTTCAGTGTCATTGTAATTTCAAGAGGTCACTAAATGAAAGGTTGTAAATTGAGCACTACCTGTAAGTAGGTTATTCTACAATATGTTGGGCTCTTTTCATGTGTATTTACTGAAAGACCTGGATGTGTTGGATGGCAGTGCCCAGAAGGAGTGTCTTATGTTAAAACGGGCTTCTCTTAAGCTGATGCCAGTTCCAGGAGTTGTGATCTAAATCCTGCAGAGCTCATTGGTGTGTGTGTGTATGTGCTAAACCTTTCATGGGCCCTCAAGTTTTAGAGCTCCATGTAATGACCCAGGGCATGGCATGGAAGCAACACAGCCAGAGAACAGGTCTAACTTCCCTTTATTGCTCCAACTTTGCCCCCAAACGTCCCCACATTTACTAAAAGTCCTGGAGCAAAGCTCTCACATGCACCTTCAACAGCCTCTAGTTGCAAGTAGTCCAATAAGCAAGGTTTGCAAACCAATAACCAGGGCCAGCAGTCCAGTTAGCATGAGCAGCAAAAGAGTAACCAGAGCCAGAAGTTCAGCGAAGTAGACAAACCAGGCAAGCCCCACAAGACAGAGCACAGTAATCTCCAGACTTCGGCAAGTGCACACAAGCCTCCACAGATTCAACGCTTGTTCCCGACAAATGCCCCTCCCACCGGCATCTCCTTACATCTCAGTCCCCAGGTGTGCCTTATGAAGGGGGGCAGGGCACTCTCCTTCCTCGTAGCCGGCTCAGTCTGTGTTGTTCTCGCCTTCTCTCTTCTCTTCTTGCTCTAGGATCAGGAGGGGGTGGTCCCTGTTCATCGCCTGAGCTCTATCTCTCCTGCTCCTCCCTGTCTACAAGCCTTTCTGATCCTGAAAACCCCTAGCCTTCCCCAGTTTCCTCCTAAGCCAACGGAGCCACCCCCTCGATCTCTGTCAGCTCCTATTCCAGCTCATCTTCTCCCACAGATTCAGGCTCCGACGGGGGTATGACACTCCCGTCACTAATGTGTTGGCTCTCTCTTCCAAGGAATCTGTTAAGCCCATCCTGAGGAGTGGAGATCCAGTTCATCTTTTGCCTACTCAGCAGACTTTGTACAGTTGTGTAGACCTGGCTCTGCGCCTCTTGTCTCCCTTCATGCCTTTCCTCACTGAGGAGCTGTGGCAGCGGCTTCCCAAGACAGACCTGGAGACGTCTCCTAGTATCTGTGTAGCCAGGTACCCAAGCCCTGAACATTTGGTGAGTCCAACTTTCACATGGAAGCTCCCTTGGTGGCCTCCATTACTTCGGGCATATCTAGTTCTTCCTGGAATAAATTACAATGAAGTTCTAGAATTTGACAGCACGAAAAATATATCTTTTCAAGAGCAATTTTCTTCCACTTCTAGAAACATTGGTGTAACCCTGAGGAAGAGGCAAATTTCTTGTTAGTGCAGCAAATTATCCAAGTGATACGCTCCATGAGGGCAACTTACCTGCTGACCAAAGCTCGACCAACAAGTGAGTCTGAATTCTCTATTTTCTATCAAAGCTGGTAGATACATGGAGTTCCTTCTAACAGGATGTCACATGGGTAATACTTCATGTGTAGCACATAATATTAAATAATAAATAATAAACAGCTCTGGGGCAGAAGTAACAAATGAGAGCCCTGAGGATGGTAGATTCAGGCAGTGGTGGGATGCTGTTGGTTTAACAACCGGTTCGGTGATCGCACGCTTTGCCTGGTGGCCAAGTGCCCGGAGTTTGGTCACAAGCATAGGGAGAGGTTGCCAACCAATCAGTCATAAATTGAGGACTATCTGTAATGCTATTCCTCAATTAATGCAGTATGGTGTAAACATAACTTATATGCACTGGGAAACCAGGAAAAAAAACCATGTGACTCATTTTTAAAAAAAACATTTTTTTAATTGGATTTTTTTTTTTAAAAAAAAATTGATTTATATGCCGCCCTTCTCCGGAGACTCAGGGCGGCTTACAATGCGTTAAGCAATAGCCTTCATACTTTTGTATATTTATACAAGTCAGCTTATTGCCCCCACAAACTGGGTCCTCAATTTACCTACCTTAGAAAGGATGGAAGGCTGAGTCAACCTTGAGCCTGGTGAGATTCAAATTTACAGTAATTGCAGACAGCTGGTGTTAATCACAATGCTATCAGTCTGCTGAGCCACCAGGATTATAGAATAAAATACAAAAACAAATAGTAAATCACAGTGGGGAGGAAAAGGGGGAGGACAAATGAAGATGGGAAGACGAAAAGAAAAAAAAGTGTTGACTTCCAACTCTGTTGCAATAGAATAAAGCATTAACATCGAACCTCAAACCTTTTACTTTTCCATAGTAATATAAACTAGCCATTTCTACAAGAACAAATCAATCTAATCAGTAAAACCCAAAATCAAAGTTTTATTTTTTTTTCCACCTCAAGCACAAAGTCCAGAAGCGGTTTCCATGTAGCAACAAAAGTACTTATGTTCTTTTCTTTGATCAAAACGCTCAATTTAGCCATCTCTGCCAACTCCATCACCTTCTGTAGCCATTTGTCCATGGTGGGAATCAAAGTGTCCTTTCATTTTTTGTGCATACAGTAGTCTTGCTGTTGTCAACATATAAAATCAAAGTTCCAATTTTTTTCTCTTTTTCTTGTGGGAAAAATTATATGCACTGGGAACACACACACACACACACACACACACACACACACTGACTCTCTTGTGGTATTTGCTTTTTTGCAATGATCTGGAATGAAACTCACAATATCTCTTAAGGTATGCCCGGGTTTGTTGCAAAGGTAGGCAGAAGATCAAGACTTACGTTTATTTGAGGAGGAAAGTTTCTCCTTCCAAAGTTTATTAGAAATTTATTTATAGACTTTATAAAATATATCCAAGTAAGGGTAATAACAAGGTTCCCAATCAAAAGTATGTTGGTTTCTTCTTTTCTTGGGGTCTTGACCTTGAAAGTGGCAGTTATAGTTAATTTTTTCTATTTGTTCCCAGTATATCTGGCTTGCTCAGAAACAGCCCCCCGGGCTGCCTATGAGAAATATCAGGAGCCGTTACAGACATTGTCTTTGGCTGGATCTGTGACTCTTCTCCCCAATTCTGAGGAAATAGAGCTACCTCTGAACTGCCTGGCTGTGAAAGTCAATGGTCATACTAGCGTTTATATGGATGTGCAGGTGGGTTACAATTTAGCATATTACTGGCTTCAAGATTTATGGGGAATCAAAGAAAGGAGGTGACTGAAAGTTTATGGCCTCTCATAAGGGAACATGTATAGGCCAGTGCCTCATAGATAGATGATAAAAGGATGAGTCAACCTTGAGCCAATGAGGATGGATGGATGGATAGATAGAGAGATAGATACCATAGAGAGATAGATACTGTGGATGGATGGATGGATGGATGGATGGGAGAAAAATGAGAGAGAGAGATACTGTAGAGAGATAAATACTGTAGAAAGATGGATACCATAGATGGATGGATGGATGGACGGATGATAGATAGATAGATAGATAGATAGATAGATAGATAGATAGATAGACAGACGATACAGAGATAGAAGGACTATAGGTGGAGAATGGGGTATTTAGAAGATGGATTATATCTTCCACTACAGGTTTTTCTCTGATTTCCCCCCCTCATCCTAGGATTTGGTGGATCCTCACAAAGAACTCCTCAAACTGACATCTCGTCAACAGAAATTAAAGCAACAGCTGGCAAATCTCACAGAAAAACTTCAGAAGCAAAATTCCTTAAAAGCCAAAATGAATCATGAGCAAAAGGTATCAAGAGCTTCATGCTGAGATTCCTGATTGTTTGGTTCCACTGGCCCAGTTGATGTTTTGAGAGCAGGTCATATAGGGCTCAAAGAAAGCCATTGCCATGAGGTTAGCAAGGCATGGCCCACCTACTTACTTAACTCTCTTTTTCTCCACAGATTTCCTTGCTTCGTTCACAGCTGCAGCACATAGAGCAAGTGCTTGCCACTTTTCAGAAAATGGCCGAATAGCAGGATGCTCAACTGACTAAGGAGACCTAGTAGATTTACCCTGTTCCAGATAGCAGAACTAACTCCAAAGCAGAGGATGCTGAGCTTGAGGGCAGATCCTGGAAGGTTCACGAGAGTTTAGGCATCACCTTCTGTGGTGGGAATTGATCTTAGAGTTATTACTCAGGGTTTGTTGGCACCAGCCCAGTTTTAGAAGCATCAGTGATGATGGAAGCTGAAAAAAAATATTAGAGCCATCATGGTGGCATCTGCCATGAAACCTTTTTTTCCATATCAATGTATTGCTTAGAAATTGTTGGGATAGATTATTTGAACAAGGATATGAATGTGTGACATATGTCATAGTTTATTGCTCTAATTCTCTAATAAAGAGGAAATGGGCACTGTATTTTTCCCGTACGGATAATTTCCTTTCCATTAGCAGGGATGATCAAAAGGATAACATTTTGGGGCCTTTTGACTACACAGTTCAGACTGCTTCACTTCGCTTGGCGTATAATATTTTTTGGTACCCTATTAAAATATTTATGTTTTTAAAATGCTTACTGTTATGATACGTTATGTTATATATAAGTTATGATATGTTATGTGAAGGGACATGGTGGCTCAGTGACTAAGACGCTGAGTTTGTCGATCGAAAGGTTGGCAGTTCAGTGGTTCGAATCCCTAGTGCCACGTAACGGGGTGAGCTCCCGTTACTTGTCTCAACTTCTCCCAACCTATCAGTTTGAAAGCACGTAAAAAATGCAAGTATAAAAATAGGGACCATCTTTGGTGGGAAGGTAACAGCTTTCCATGCGCCTTTGGCGTTTAGTCATGCCGGCCACATGACCACGGAGACGCCTTTGGACAGCGCTGGCTCTTTGGCTTTGAAACGGAGATGAGCACCGCCCCCTGGAGTCGGGAACGACTAGCACATATGTGCGAGGGGAACCTTTACTTTTACTGTTAGAATTTTTTTTTAAAAAAAAGGGGTTGGTTCTCCAAGTTGGAGTCTATGGAGATCCTTTATTGAAGGGCAAAGGAGTTCAGGACCATGGACAGTTCACTCCAGCTGGTCATAAAGCCAAGCTGTAGTTGGAGAGTTGACCTGATACAGGTAGTCCTTGACTTATGTGACAGTTTGAAGTTCTGATGGACGTACCTGAGGAGTGCTTATAACCTGGATTTAAAATTCTGGTGGTTTTATTTATTTATTTATTTATTGGTTCTATTTATATGCCGCCCTTCTCCGGAGACTCAGGGTGGCTTACAATGCATTAAACAATAGCCTTCATACTTTTGTATATACCTGCTTAGTAGGGCTTTCAGCCCCCCCCTAAGCGATGTTCTTTTTATACAAAGTCAGCTTAATGCCCCCACATTCTGGGTCCTCATTTTACCTATCTCAGAAGGATGGAAGGCTGAGTCAACCTTGAGCCTGGTGAGATTTGAACTTGCAGTAATTGCAGGCAGCTGGCAGCTAAGTGCTACTTAACAGCACTTTAGTCCACTGCACCACCAAGGCTCCTGGATGGCAGAGGATGAGATAGCAATAGAACAGCACGTTTCACAGGGCTTTACAGCCTTCTCTAATGGTTTACAGAGTCAACATATTGCCCCCACCAATCTGGGTCCTCATTTAACCAACCTCAGAAGCAGGGGTGGGTTCCACTTATCTGTTGTGGTCCACCAGCAGCCTGCGGAGCTGGCAGCGGATTCGGACAGCGATGAGGCTGAGGAAGAACATGGGTCAGTCCTGGAGGCTGGGGAAGGCCCGGATGAGGGCTCTGCGTCGGAGGCAGAGATGGGGCCAGGGCCATCGGGGAGTGATGCATGAACTTTGGAGCCTCCAGAGGCTGACAGTAGAGAGGCAGAGGAACAGGAGGAGCCTGTTCCTAGTGCATGCATGAGAAGAGCTGCCAGAAGGCAAGAGCAGATAAAGCAAAGAGGACGACTCGGGAATAGGGCCAAGAGATGATTGGCCCCTCCCATAAGGCTTAAAAGACCAGCAATGGCTCTTGGGCTCTTTGTCGGAAAACAACGTTGATAAACTTGTTCTTGTCTTGCTGCACTTATCTCTGGTTGGCGTTTTCTGCTTCTGAACTTTTGCCAAGAGAAGCCTTTGGCAGTTTGCCTAATTATACCAAGGTTGGTGATTAGACTGAAGAATTTGTGTTATTAAGAGTTTGTTTTAATTTAGTTTGGACTACGCTGAGAATGAGTTAGTTCTTAACTGTTCTAATAAAGTCTGTTTGTTTTGGAACTGTTTGGGTCGACTACTACCTACTTGAGCCTGGGTCACAACATTACCCTTACTACCGGTTTGCAACGGAGCGCAAAAATTCTCAGTTAATTGTTACCTAAGTTGGTCATTACACTTAACGATAAAGCAGCTTGTTTCCACATACCATATAGCACTTTTCAAAAAATTAAAATAATCTGAAAACTATGGAGACTAATATCTTAATTAGCAGTGGTATTAATTAGGTATTGCTTGCCTGCCTCTGGCTGAACTGGATTTCTAATTGAAGCAAAAATAAATAAATAACAATAATCAGGAACTCATGCCTCCTGGAGAGAACATTTGTACATTATAAAAAAATTGAGACTAAAGCTTTTATACCTGTTACATTATCACCAGGCTCAAGGTTGACTCAGCCTTCCATCCTTCCAAGGTGGGTAAAATGACCCAAATTGTTGGGGGAAAATATGCTGACTCTGTAAACTGCTTAGAGCTGTAAAAGCACTGTAAAGCGGTATATAAGTCTAAGTGCTATTGCTATTATATACAGCTTCAATTATCTTAATAAACTGGACTAATTTTCTTTAAAATAAGGATTTGTTGTAGAGAAAAATAGGATGAAGTTCTCTGCCTTGAGTTATTTATTAATAACAATAAAGGTGTGATATAAACAAACAAACAATCCTTGACTTACAACCGTTTATTTAGTGACCGTTCAAAGTTACAACACTGAAAAAAGTATCTTAAGACTGTTTTTCATATTTATGACTGTTGTAGCATCCCCATGGTCATGTGATCAAAATTCGGATACTTGGCAACTGACTCATATTTATGACGGTTGCATTGACTTGGGCTCATGTGATCACCTTCTGTGACCTGACAAGCAAAGTCAACGGGCGAGTCAGATTCACTTCACAACTGTGTTACTAACTTAACAACTGCGCTGATTCACTTAACAACTGTGATAAGAAAGGTCGTAAAATGGGGAGTGGGAGGCACCGTTTTACGGGGGTTCTTCTCTTATCTCTCAGGTCGGACGCAAGCTGTGTTGGCAGGAGGGCAGAGATCGACCATGAGGCCCCTCAATTGTGGGGTGCCTGGGGTCGGTTCTCTCACCCCTTCTGTTCAACATTTATATGAAACCGCTGGGGGAGATCATCCGTGGTTTCGGGGTAGGGTATCATCAGTACGCTGATGATACCCAGCTTTTTATATCCACCCCAAACCAGCCCAGTGATGCCCTCGACATGATGTCCCGGTGTCTGGAAGCGGTATGGATCTGGATGGGGAGGAACAGGCTTCAGCTCAACCCTGCCAAGACTGAGTGGCTGTGGATACCGGCATCTCGGTTCGAAGGTGAGATTGCATCGCTGACTATAGAGGGTGAAATTTTGCCCCCTGCAGACAGGGCGCGCAACTTGGGTGTCCTCCTGGATTCACGGCTGAGTTTAGAAGATCATATAACAACCGTGACCAGGGGGGGCATATGCCCAGATTCGTCTGGTCCGCCAGTTGCACCCCTATTTGGACCGAGATGCCCTACGCACAGTTACTCATGCACTAGTTACCTCCCGTGTTGACTACTGTAATGCTCTCTACATGGGGCTGCCCTTGAGGACCACTTGGAGGCTTCAACTGGTACAGAATGCGGCCGCGCGGGTTGTGATGGGAGAGTCCCGATACTCCCATGTTACACCCCTCCTGCACGACTTGCATTGGTTGCCGGTTGCCCTCCGGGTGAGATTCAAGGTGCTGGTGATGACCTATAAAGCCCTACATGGCTTAGGCCCAGGATATTTGGCGGACCATCTGCTGCCAGCAACAACTGCCCATCACCCGGTGCGTTCTCACAGGGAGGGCCTGCTCCGGGTGCCGTCGGCTAGACAGTGTCGGCTGGCGACCCCCAGGGCGCGCCCACCCTCTGGAATCAACTCCCCCTGGGGCTCCTGTTGGCCCCTGACCTTCGTACCTTCCGCCGCAAATTAAAAACATGGTTGTTTACATCGCCCAGCCTGGACTGAGAGGGTTTTTAGAGTTTGGGGGTTTTAATATAACTTATATACGTACATTATGTATTTTATAATTTTAACTGATTGTTTTATTGTTGTGAGCCGCCCTGAATCTTCAGAGATAGGGCGGCATATAAATTTTATTAATAAATAAATAAATAAATAATAAATAAATAAAACTCACTTAACAAACATCTCCCTTAGCAATATAAATTTTGGGCTCCATTGTGGTCGTAACTCAAGGACTACCTGTATCCTGGGTTGTGAAATTTTGATCTCTGCTGCCATCTAGTGATTGCCTGAATTTTTATAGCTCAGATCTGAGGTTTTCATATCTGTGTGCCTGTCAGTGTTGACTCTGGCCTGGACAGGTTCCTGTGGTTTTCCTGGCAAGGTTTCAGAAGTGGCTTTCCACTGCCTCATTCCTAGGGCTGAGAGAGAGTGACTGGCCCAAGGGCATCCAGGCAGCTTATGCCTAATCTGTATTAAAACTCATTAAAACGTAAGCCTGGCACTTTAACTACTACATCAAACTGGCTCTTAGATGTGATAGCCCTGCTCTAAAATACAAGCAGTGTCAACCTCCCCTTCATCACATTTGAGCTACATTTAATCAAAATGATGTTAATTAATTGTGGGATAGTTCATTTATTGCTTTATTGGATTTTTAACTTTGCCTTTGTTACTTCATTGGGTATGTTTCAAACCAGTGGTGAAATCTGAATTTTTTTACTACCAGTTCTGTGGGCATGGCTTGGTGGCCGTGGTGTGGCTTGGGCATGGCTTGGTGGGCGTGGCAGGGGAAGGATACTGCAAAATCCCCATTCCCACCCCACTCCTGGGGGAAGGATATTGCAAAATGTCCATTCCCACCCCACTCTGGGGCCAGCCAGAGGTGGTATTTGCCGGTTCCCTGAACTACTCAAAATTTCCGCTACCAGTTCTCCGAACTGCTCAAAATGTCTACTACCAGTTCTCCAGAACCTGTCAGAACCTGCTGGATTTCACCTCTGTTTCAAACCCAGAGACACCAATAACCACCATATTACTCCTTTGCACCTTTCCAATTGGCCAACGAAGGATTTGATGTCACAATTCCTTGTATTTGCATACGGGTGGGAAGGATGGACGCCTCATAGATACATATTATGAAGCTCTCCAGCTGCTACATCACAAGGCAGTTGTATTTCTCTAGCCAGCCAATCACACCTGTCCTTCACCGAATCCAATTCCCAGAGGTGGCAAGAGGACAGACGCCTTTGTCCCTAAGCCCCAGAGCTGGCAGCGAGAAAAGGAAAATGGCTGCTGCTGCCCAAAAGGGAAATAAGAAGAAAGCACAGCGGCTTCCAGGAGGGAAGACCCCATGTAAGTTAATACAACCCAAGGAGAAGAAACCAGAACTCAGACAAAGCAAACAGGACCAAAAAACACCAACTGTGAGGCCGGGGAATAAGAGGAAGGAGATGGGAGAGGCTTCCGGTTTGCCTGCGCCTAAGACGTCTCGGTTGGGCCACCAAAGGAAAGCTCGCTTGCCTGCGAAGGCCAGTGGGAAGGCAGCTCCCTCCACCAGGAGCAGGGCCACCCGACAGGCCTCTTCCAAAGCTAAAAGGACAAACGTTGGCAGGAATCTCTGTTTCTTCAGTTCCAAAGACCTTCAGTATGAAGTGAACGAGTTAATGCGCAAGGAACTGACCGCACGCATGTTTTCCAGCAACCCGCGTGGCCATCACTGACCAAGCTGTACCCTTTTTCTTCTTGGGGCCCGTTGAAGCAGACACTCAAGGCGGGGAGGAAGAAAAAGCATCAACTGGCCAGAGCAAAATCCCATCTCAGAAGATCTGACGTTTCGATTTAAGGTGCCTAGAAACCCAACCATCTTCTAAGTCTCTAGAAATTATTTTGTCGAGCTGCAGCCATCCTTAGAACTCAGTAATCTCCCCCTAAATGCAAGAGAAGCGCATATTTACCCAAATAACTTCAGAGAAAAACGTTCCACTTATAGAGAAAGTCCTTCTTTTCACTGGAAAAAAAAAATCGATTTTCAAGCGTTATATAATTTTTTTCAAGAAAGGAAACACTCTGAGTTATTTTCATGCTAATAAAATGGGATTTTAGAATGAGTCCGTTTACGTCTTTATTTAGCTTTCCACCAATAAAATGTTGGAAGAAATATCCTTCTGGGTTCAGTTCCACGTAGGGAGAAAGACACTGGAAACATGGTGGCTGCTTGGAAAAATGGTTTTAATGGTGGACAGAATCACATGCCTGGATGATGTTGGGTGAAGAAAAAAGGGAAGAGAAGCTGAGAGCGCCTGAGTTTTATACCCTCTTTGGGGTTTTGAATTTGAGCTTGTATTCTGATTGGTTGTCAGACTGCCATGGGGCCATGCAGGGGTAACTTCGTAGGTTGTGTTTTTGAGTCCCAAGCTTGGTTGAGCCTTGCTGGGTGATGATGTAATGAGAGGGCTTTGGGCAATTCCTACTATGGCTCTGCCTGAAGGAGGTAGATCTTTGTTATGTATAATAGACTGGCCCAGGCCTTAAATGGCCCATTGACAAAGGTGGGGGAGGGGGCTGAATTTTTGCCTCCTTTTTAGGGGAAATATTCTGCCCTTTTAATAATATCTCCTAAAATATTTCATTTTTTAAGGAGAGAGGTGGGTGCTAACTTCCTACAAAAATATATGAGTTTTTGCTGCAGACATGGCATATGGTTTATCATATTCTTTCTCTCATCTTCTAAGAAAATATTCAGGGTAATGCATTGTGCATAGTGAGAATGTAATTAAAAATAGGCTGATATTTATTCCTCACTATATTAAGACTTTCTATTACCAAATAATCTTGTCCCGGACTCTAAAGTATACATTGTGAATAGGACTACTAAGTGTGTAAATAAGGCAATTGAGCTAAGAACCTGTTATATCAACAGATTGGGGTATCCTGTAAAGGTGACTTATTGATTCTTTTTATTTATCACTATGTATTTTATTACTGTATTTTCTTTTATCTATTTACCCTGAAATTAGATTCTCTATTTTATTTATGTTTTTTTGTTTGTTTTGCTTTAATTTATATGCCGCCCTTCTCCGGAGACTCAGGGCGGCTTACAATGCGTTAAGCAATAGCCTTCATACTTTTGTATATTTATACAAAGTCAATTTATTGCCCCCACAATCTGGGTCCTCATTTCACCTACCTTTGAAAGGATGGAAGGCTGAGTCAACCTTGAGCCTGGTGAGATTTGAACTTGCAGTAATTGCAAGCAGCAGATGTTAATAACAGCGCTTTAGTCCACTGTACTACAGGCTCTTTTTAATGTAGTCGTAGGGATTAATCAATTAATAAACTATTAAGCAGGTAAATAAATTATAAAATGCTAAAAACCCTAAAGTAGCTTCAGGACAGGGGTGGGTTCTACCTACCTTTACTACCAGTTTGCAAAGGGACCACTTGCACGCTTTCGCTTTGCTCGCTTGCATGTGCTTCTGCACATGAGCAGAAGCTTCTTGATGACGTTGGGGTCGGTGGGCGGAGCCTCCCGCCAGTTTTACTACCCGGAGTAACCCACCACTGCTTCAGGACAAACTGTTTGGTTTAACAGAACATATTAGGAACAGCTCAGCTTTTCTTTTACAAACAGCCACGGTATAATTTTACAAAATAGATTATTTCAGATATGCGCATTCTCTCTTATACATGACTTAAATAGTTACAAGATCACCAAATCCTGTAGGATTTATGTAATCACATCTTTCAGCTTTTATACATTCTCAAGAGAATATACCAAGAACTCACCCATTCTCACCTCTGACCTTGCAAGATCTTTTACAGGAATTGCGGCATCTCCTGAGATTTTGTAATCTTGCCACATTTCTAACATTTATTTTTGAAAATCATATACAGTAATTCTGTGAGTCCATAGCAGGGGTGAAATGGTCCTGGTTTGGTCCAGTTCGCCCGAACCGGTAGTAAAAAAGGCTACTGGTTCACCGAACCGGTAGTAAAAAATGTAGAAAAAAAAGTTCCGACGATCAGGTGAGTGACACGCGATCTTCTGAACTTTTTTTTCGTTTTTAGCATTCTTTTTACTACCAGTTCTCTGGAACCGGTAGTAAAAAAGCTTTTAAAAAGTAAAAAAAAAAGGCTCCGACGATCAGAGCTGCGCTGTGCGATCATCAGAGCCTTTTTTTTTACCTTTTAAAAGCATTTTTTAAACAACCTATTCGGCCGAATAGGTTGTAAAAAAATGCTTCTAAAACTTAAAAAAAAAAGGGTCCGAAGATCACGTGCCACAACTGATCACATACTCCACCCCTGTGTGCTGTTCTACTTACCCATGTCTCCTTTTGGCATGCACTGCATGGGCACGTGTGACCATGCGTACCTCACACTGCACATGTGCACATGCACTTTGTGTTTGGCGCGCAGCGCGAATGCGCAGCCAGCAGACTGGTAGTAAACCGGTTCAGATTTCACCACTGGTCTGTAGGTGTCATTTTGGAGCATTGTGAAGGACTGAGCAAATATATTCCATATGGCTGTCTCCTGATTTTTGTCACTCATCAATCATCTAGTTTTTAATGTGCTGTAGAGGTTTTTGCCACTCTTTGACCAAGATCTGGACTGAGACCAACAATAGTCAATGTCTTATCCACCCCAGGATGATATTAAGTGTTTCTCAACTTCGATTATCTTAAGATGTGTGGACTTCAACTCCCAAAATTCTCTACCCAGCAAGGCTGGTAGGGGAATTTTGGGAGTTGAAGTCCACATATGTTAAAGCAGCCAAAGTCAATCAATCAATCAATCAATTAATCAATCAATCAATCAGAATAGAACAGGAAGGGACCTTGGAGGTCTTCTAGTCTCTTGCTCAAGCAAGAGACCCCATACAATTTGAGACGAGGTTGAGAAACACTGTTGTATATAAACACTCCAAAGAGGACAAGTCAGGTTCTGTCCTGAATCAAATAATCCTCATCATCCTTGCCTCTGTATTGAGCAATAAAGAGCTCTTAACAACAAATGGTGGTATTTGCTGGTTTTTTTTTTTTATAATCGTCAGGTGTGCTTCCTTCAAAGTCCAGGAAAGAATGACCCAAACTCCATTGTTTATAGAGAAAGGTACTTTTACTAGAAGATGAAGTGAACGCATCCAAGGAAAGCTGGGATTAAAAGCAATAGGCGTGAAAATTGCATATAGAAAGCATCCCCTCCCACTGTCCATCATTAATCACCCAATCCAAAGGTCTCCCCAGGGTCAGGTGGAAGCATGTCTGGCAGCGTCATCAATCAGGAATGCCACGACAGTTGGTCCGATAACAACTTCAAAGATTAACTTTCGTTTCTTCCTCCAGCACGCTTCCCCCCCAAGCCCCAAGCTCTCCCCCCCCGTCACTATGGCAGCCAAAGCAGGAAAGGCGGAGGCTGACAATAATACTCAGAATCTGATGCTTATAGCAGAACCAGACCTTATAGAGACTACCAAATAGGTGAATGAACTTTATCCTTCCCATTTGTAGCTTCAGGCGTTTATGACTATTGTTAAATTGTTCCTGCAGCAAATACCAGCTTTGAAATAATGATATTCAATGGAACTATAACATGGAGGGTAGAATTAAACATGCATTTTCCCCACACAATGGATCTAACATGGATGGGAAGAAAGGATGTTTGTTCTTTAAAGCACATCTTAAATATAACGTGGCTTTTGTGCTATCAGCACAAAATGTCACATCCATCACAAACAGCATCATCTCTCATATGCTCCAGTTATTCTAAATTGCTGAAGTATGGTGACACATGCGCTTCCCTATCTAATAAGCAGTTACATGGAAGACAGCCAGACAGGGCTTGCCAAACGTGAAGCAAACATAATAAATATCAATTTTTTTTTAAAAAAAATGATAATTAGATCTTATCACAATGGGATTTATCTTAAAATATAAATTATTATATTAACTAGTTAAGGGAAATGCATACATTGGGCAGGGTTAACCATGTGTTATAACTTCAAAATAGAATGAAAGAAGAAAGGAAAGGAAAGGAAAGGAAAGGAAAGGAAAGGAAAGGAAAGAAGGAAAGGAAGGGAAGGAAAGGAAGGGAAGGGAAGGGAAGGGAAGGGAAGGGATGGAAAGGGAAGGGAAGGAAAGGAAAGGAAAGGAAAGGAAAGGAAAGAAGGAAAGGAAAGGAAAGGAAGGCTTGGACAATTATCCCAACATTCCAAGAAGTTTGATCTATTATTATATTAAATGATATTATATCCCATACATTATTTGTACGCCTTTTGGTCATAAACTCTGGGCAACTCACAGCAATCAAGATAAAATAAGCAGAAAAGCAGAAACATAAAATTCAACAACAGCAAAATCTGTCAATAAACATAACATTAACATACATACAATTAAAATATAGCCCAAACATCTCCTCCTTTGACTTTTTCTTAAAAAAAGATTGAGAGACAAAATCAGCAGCCTATTGAGGGCTGTCTGAAATGGAATATTCCTTCCAGTGTTGGCCATCCTTTATGAGTGAAAACTTCACAATTGTTAATTTTTTCAGTAAAATCCAGACACTGGAAATGTAATCAAACTTAATATATCTACTTTTATACTATGGTGCACCTGGTGTAGATTTATGTCCATAATCTCTGAATTTCAGTCCAAACCACACTCATAGGACACAAAGAATGTTCCAGCTGCAGAATTACATTTCCATCAACAGGATGACTGCATCTAACCCTTCCTAAACATTGTGGAGGTGTTGCAATAATAGTTTATAAATACCAGCTTATATGGGAGTTTGCTGAAGAAGAAGTAAGATGTTTTCCTATTGTCACATGTGAAAAAGTTCCACAACTTTAAGAAGGGAGCATAAATTAATGGTCAGCACATGATTTCTACGCAGAAGGACCTACAGTCAGTCGTCAACATCTCCAGATTGGCATGGAAAAACTTCCGAATGGCTTCACTGGAGTCATGGAGAACATGGAGTACATCACTAGAGGTTTTGAAGAAGAGATACAGGCAGCCATTTGTTGGAAATAATATAGGGTCTCCTGCTTGAGCAGGAGATTGGACTAGAACAGGGGTTTACAACCCCTGGGCCGTGGGCCACT